GGGCTGAAATGCTCTGTTCTAGAGAAACTTACCGTATGAGAACTGTTCACAGTGGTGGTGATAGGAACCAGACGTCCACCTCTAAGAGCTCCCTCACAGAAAGTTGCTACATGAAATGGAACATGCAAAATAGTCCCCAAATAAAACTTATTATTCAGATTTTCCACTTTTTTCTCCTCATCAACATTCCATATAAACTCAGAAGACTCGTGTAGGTTTACTGGTGGTTCTGGATAGTAAATAAAATGTCTATATTTGTGTTGTAGTCATGGCGACCCCTGGGTCCTATCACCACCACTGTAAAGACATCTGAACCATTTCACACCAAACCACTCTGAATGACTCTGTTTACATCTCACACACTGAATTATGCTGACATTTTGAAAAATCAGTGGAGTTCCTCTTCAGAGAAGTAGTTTGGTGAATCCACAGATCTACATTTGTTTACATTCAGCACTCATTCATAATTCTGCTAATGAAGTCTGGCAAATGGTTCTTGCTGCATCGAGCTAATTACAATAAAAAAAAAGATTAAAAAGAAAAGGAAAAAAAAAACACTGCACACAAATCAACCACAAAAACCTGATAAGCAAAAAACCTCCCTGCTGTATCGGCTCTGTGCCTTGATTTCTTAGTTGTCAAGGTTCTGCACAGATATATGCACTGTTTTTGGTAATAATCTCAGTTTGAGAACCGCAGGGGTTTATAAAGGCAGATTCAAAGGATTTTAGTTTAAAATGTGTTTATTTTTCTTCATAATTATGAAAATGTAGCATTATTTCTGTAAGGCAGATGCTCACTAACTGGCCACTTTATCAGAAACACCCTCCTTGTATTTCCACTAACTGGCCTCTTTATCAGAAACACCCTCCTTGTATTTCCACTAACTGGCCACTTTATCAGAAACACCCTCCTTGTATTTCCACTAACTGGCCACTTTATTAGCAACACCCGCCTTGTACTTCCACTAACTGGCCACTTTATCAGAAACACCTCCTTGCTATTTCCACTCACTGGCCACTTTATCAGAAACACCCAACTTGTACCTCCACTAACTGGCCACTTTATTGAAAACACCTCCCATGTACAGACCCTCAGTGGCCACATTATTGGAAACCCCTGCTAGGGGTCACTGCTGGGTTGAGAGTGGACCGCCACCCAAAATTATGCAGATGAGAGCAGCTCTGTGGTCGGAAACTGCTGAAGAACTACAGGATGAATAACACAAACTGTGCATCACCAGATGAGCTACTGTCTCTGACTGAACACCAGCAAGAGAGGGGTTTCCAATAAAGTGGCCAGTGAGAGTAAACTCTTTGCCAAAGAGCAGAAACTCGAATGCAAACGTTGTATGTTGTAAATTTTACTGATGGAGTTTTATTTCCACTCCTATTTCTGCGCATCTGCTGTGGTTTTGGCTGTATTTTAAAGTGCTTGTACTACTTTATAACTCACTGTATATTAGGAAACTCACTTCTTTACAGTTTTCATCCAGAATACTTTATTTTCAAAGTATCTTATTGTTCCTCAGTGCGCAGCATCAGGACGGCTCCCTCTACACGCGCTGCCGGAGGAGAGCTGAGGCTGCAGGACTTTTATCAGGTTCAGATTGTAAGATAAAGCGTTGTGAAGACGGCAGCGCATGAACAAAAGTGTATGTAAGTTATGTTAGTTTAAAAAGAGGGATTGATTTTTATTTAATAAATACTTTTCGGAATGGCTCCCGTGCTTGATCTTTGTTCCTGTGATGTCATCGTGATTGTGGAAAAGTCAGAAATGACTGAGATGCCAGTTGTGAAGTATAAACGTTCAGACTGTTCAAAACCTGTGCATAATTAAATCATTAAGACAGAGTCGTTCAGGGTGGTTCTGTGTGAAATACTCAGAGTCAGAATTCTCTACAGTGGTGGTGATAGGAACCAGACGTCCACCTCTAAAAGCTCCCTCAGAGAAATTTATTACATGAAGTGTTTATAAATACACTAAGACATTGTTTTACGGTAGTTTTGAGAAGATTTTTGAGAAGATTTTGGTGTAAAACATACTTTTTAATTCCATTCATGGTGGAGGGATACGTACAGGGTGTTTTAAGGCAAAATAGTCCCCAGAGAAAACTTTTTCACTATTTTACCATCATCAACATTGCATATAAACACTCAGACAACTCGTGTTGGTTCACTGGTGGTTTTGGATAGTAAATAAAATGGCTATATCTATGTTGTAGTCATGGCGACCCCTGATTCCTATCACCACCACTGTAAAGACATCTGAACCATTTCACACCAAACCACTCTGAATGACTCTGTTTACATCTGAAACACTGAATTTTGAAATTTTGAAAATTCTGTGGAATTGCCCTTTACAGGAGCTGCCTCCCGCACAGTCTTCACTGCTGTCTATATGAGAAAGCTTCAGGTTTATTCAGCGGGATTTTGGCGTCACCTCGTGGTCATCTTGTGTAATTGCAGCTGGCGCTGAGTGCAGTTGTAATTGCATCCGCTGTAATTAAAAGCAAAATAAAGAATTGACCATGTGACACATTCAGCAACAAAACAGTGCAGCACAGTGATGCACAGGCTCCCATTTGGGATCTATTAAACCCAGAAACATACAGCAAAGTGAAAATATCCACCAACACTCTGCCCCGTGGGAGAGAGCAGGACTTTGAACTCCAGCACCAGGCCAGATTCACTGATCTCCACTGTGGGAAACAGAAATAAATAAAAGATGATTTTTTTTTTAATTGTCCCAAAGCAACTTTCTGGCAATCTTTGTCTTAAACGTCGTATGTGTTTACCTGTATTTCTCTTATTTAAAGGGCCCATGTAACAGAAAACAAACAAATAAATAAATAAATAAATAAAAGAGCTTGATGTGCTGTGTAAACATGCTCCATACAGTCCATGTATGGAAACTTAGCTGCTCAAACAGCCCAATTTGGAATTTATTGTTTTTGTGACGTCCCATAAACCAACGCGCTTATATACGTCCTATTCGGGCCAAAGCAGTTTAGCCCTGCCTACTCACATGACGTCATAAGTAGTGAAGTGGAAGGCACGATACAGGGCAGCCAATCAGAACAGAGCTCATTTGCATGCACCACTCTTAAAGGCACAGTAACAGCCTGTATACTTCTAAGGGATAAAGACGGGTTGGAAAAATTGGTCATGTATCAGTGAATTATGGCTGCACAAACACAAAGTGGACCTCAGAGGATAAGAAATATCGAGATTTACGATATGAGCCCTTTAAAACATAAATTTGTTGCCACATATGTAAATATATAAAATAAAAAGTTGATTTGAAATACAGTTTTATGTTTTTTTATATTTAAAGTTAAGTAAATGTGACATAAAAAACATACATTTGTTTGAACATTCGTCATTAAACTTGTATTATTATTATTATTATTATTATCAGATCAATTTCATCTTCAGAATAAAGACATGTCCTTTGCAGTCTCCTCTCCGTCCAGCAGGAGGCGCTGTTGGTGCCGTGCGTCGCTCAGACGTCATCACGCATTTCGAACGCGTTCGGGCGGGAAGCGGGAAAGCGGTAAAGCGCGGTGAGTGAGAGTTTCTGTTTACCAACAAACATGATAGAAACATAAAGACCAAACAGTCGGTTTGTGTATTAAAAACGAGCTTCCGAGGCTTCATCAGCTGATTGATAGGTCATCTTCATTACCGACACTCTTTTGATCGACCTGTCAGTCCGGTTTGTTTAAATTTCTGCTGAAGGGCGAAGCTGAAGTTAGCCGGTTGGTCGAATTCTCCGTTCCACCTTAAATGGTGCGGCGGTTACAGTTACACTCTGCGGCGGGTAAAGGAGACAGAATGGAGGAGCCGCGCCGTTTAAGGTGGAACGGGGAGTTAGAAGAATTTCAGTCTCGTAGCTCGAACTCTAACGGACTTTTTGGCTTTTCGGGCTTGTTTTGAGTACTTTGAGCCGCAGGTTTCGGTTAATACAGCGCATTTACTCCGCTTTAAGGCGTTTCTCTGATTAATTTTGTGTGTTGTTGATGCTAAATTATAGATATTTGATTGTGTTTAGTGTCACGGCCACCAAATTCACACCCAAGTTTACGAAGTTTTGACAGGTGAGTGATGATGATTAGCAAATGATATATTATTCTCATTTACTTGGAGCGTTTAATATGTTTTTCTCATTTACTGGTTTCTAGTTCGTTATGTGTTCTTATTTAGCTTAGTAGTTGTCGCTCTATGTAACGTTTCTCGGTGAAAAAACTGATGGATTTATTCTTTTACTGAGTATTTTCAAACTAATAGCTACTTTTGTTCTGCTGAAGTCTGTTTAATGAGCAAAGTTAATCTGTTCTTTAATCGTTTAACGTTATATTTTGGTCCTGAAAGGGGAACTCCACCAATTTTTCAAAATTTCTGACTCGTTCAGTCGTTTATATGTAAACAGAGTCATTCAGAGTGGTTTGGTGTGAAATGGTTGATTGTAGAGACTCAGATTTCTTTACAGTGGGGATGATAGGAGCCACAGAGGTGGGCGATATGACAAAAATATCGCGATTCTTTAAGAAATTTTCATGATACACGATGTGTCACAGTATTTATTTTTTTCAGACATCTGATCAGTTGAAGCAGAGAAAAAAGAACCAATAGAGCTACATTACAAAAAATAGTATCAAAGCTGTGAATACAATGATTTTTATGCTGTATTTTACACACTTTGTTGCACTAAATCCAGTTAAACAAATCTAATTTTGTTCTCTTTATAAATAAACTTGCATTTAGTCAGTGTTGTCAAGTACTGACAATATCCATATACAAATATAGCCATTTTATTTACTATCCAAAACCACCGGTGAACCTACACGAGTCTTCTGAGCTTTTATATGGAATATTGATGATGATAAAATAGTGGAAAATCAGAAAAAATACATTTTCTTTGGGGACTATTTTGCCTCATAATGCACTGTGTGTATTCCTCCACCATGAACAGATTAAAATAAATGGATTCAAATACATTTTAAGCCAAAACTTTATCACAAAACTTTCATAAAACAGTGTCTCAGATCTCAGTCAGTGAATTCATAACCATGTCATGTAGTAACTTTCTGTGAGGGAGCTTTTAGAGGTGGACGCCTGGTTCCTATCAGCACCACGGTAGAGAACTCTGACTCTGTAAGTTTCTCTAGAACAGAGCAGTTTCACACCAAACCACTCTGACTGACTCTGTTTACATATTAACCACTTAACTACACTGAATATTCAAAAGATCAGTGGAGTTCCCCTTTAACATTTAGTTACTGGTTGTTATTTATGTTTAATTTCATGCTGTTATGTTATTGTGTGATTTTTCACACGTCTCTCTCTCTCTCTCTCTCTCTCTCTCTCTCTCTCTCTCTCTCTCTCTCCTCTCTCCTCTCTCTCTCTGTCTGTCTGTCTGTCTGTCTCTCTCTCTCTCTCTCTCTCTCTCTCTCCTCTCTCTCTCTCTCCTCTCCCCCCTGTGCCTGGTCGTGTTGCAGATATATTGTAGATTTAAGCTGAGAAGATGTCCAAAAGAAAAGAGTTCCTGGATTCCGTTCATCCGGACAAAGTCCAGGACTTTCTCGACTTCATTAAATTACACGTACGTACTCAGTTCTGACACTCGATTATAAATTCAGAGCGTTTTATTGCTTTCGTTTTGGTTTAATCCTCCTCGTTCAGTAGGATGTGTTAGATCCATGTGTTGAAATTAAAATGAGGCGTCTTTCTTGCACAGCACCCTGTTTTCTTTTACGTGAGTGGGAAAGTGCTCTTTATGTGTCAGTGTGTTAGAATAGCCATTTGAAGAGACCTGAACCGATTTGCTTATTGTACTGAGTGAAAATGTCTTTTGATCAATTGCTGTGGTTTGAATTCCCAGGTTTAGTAAGTGCATAACTTAATAAATGTCAGGAATGTTGTCCAGTTCATTAACCTCATTACCTGCAGTGTGAAAGAAAATCGACCCACGTGATCTTCACATCTCTGGAATACATATAAACATGTTTAGGGCTGTCCTGATACCTGAACTGACTTCAGTATCCAGTGTGGCATCACAAAGGCCTGATATAAAAGAAAATTATCTCATAGAAAAAAAATCATGCATTTGTGATTGAACGATAAATTTGTAAGAAATTATTATGAGAAAGTTGTCGCAATTATTGTAGCTAATTAACATCTCTAATCTAATTTTCTGATATCATTTTTTTTTATACAAAATGTTTCAAATGTTCATTTGAAGTCAGACTAGCATACAGTTTCAATTTGTATTGCAGTTACCTAAAAATTTAACATTTTAAAATATTAGAATATTGAGTTGTCTGCCACGTTACAGTTTTGAGAAAAATAAAAGTCCTTGTCCTTTTGTTCAACACTAAAACAAACCTCATATCATAAACTGAATTTTACGTTTTAAGTCAAAGTGTTTGATCTGGTTTGTAAACACTGTTAAAGCTTAAAAATGTGCTGCTTGCTCTCCAGTCCATATCGCTGCTGTCGGAACAAAACATTGTATCTCCATTTTTGACGTTTTTTTTTAGTTTTTGACGTAATTTGAAAATACCTGTTTCTCTTTACATTGTGTGTGAATTTCATGATGAATGGACCAAAAGGAACGGTTCAAACAACTTGGAAAAACATCTGGTTCCATTGACTTACATTAAAAGTAAAGTAGGTTTTTTCCTTCTCCTGTAAAGTTACTATTTTGGAGGTACAAGGTTTTCTTCCGAGAAGCGTGATAAGGAACGTAATCTGTGATAACATTGTTTTTTTTTTCAAATTCATTGTTTTTGTGATGTCACAAAAACCAAATTGTTTGTATATATGTCTGCCCGTTTAGCCTACGGCAGTTTAGCTCCACCCACTTGTGCAGAAGTTGTAAGGAGTGTTTCAGTCTAGGCTGCTTTTTGACTGAAGCACACTTAGTGCTGGGCAGTGTGACAGTATTTACTGTTGTTGTGAGTAATTATGCTACAGTATGTCACAGTAACCTTGATTGAATATAGATTTCATCAGTACTTAAAAGCACTTCCAAACTGCATGTTTGATTACAAAAAGAGCTTAATATTAGTCCTGTTTTATTGGATATAACGCAGTGCAATATGTGTGTGTGTGTGTGTATATATATATATATATATATGTAGTGTGTGTATGTCAAAAAGTTTTCACAGAACATTTCACTGTAAATATGTGCCATGATGTTTTGAAGACTTCTTGCCATATTGCCGATGTCCAAGCACAGTGCTTTTGCTGCCTTTGTACCAAGGCAAGGCAAATCAGAGCAGAGCTCATCTGCATAGATCAGTCTTAAAGGCACAGAAACACAAACAGCCTGTTTAATTCTAAGGGCGCCTTTCAAACACTGCTGTCATTCAAAGTACTTTACAAATGAGAAAACTGAGGGTCAGAAGTAGTTAAAAAAAGAGTAAAGTAAGCACAAACAGAAAAAATCTAATTAAAAACATGATTAAAACACAATTAAAACAATACGTTTAAAAGAGAAAATCATTAAATTAAAAATCAAATCAGAAATTAAATTAGGAAAGTTAAATAATAAAAAAAACTAAACGTTAGATTAGGATTGAAAAAAAGTGCTGTTACAGAGAAAGAGGGGCTAAAAACTCTAACAGTGTTTAAACTGAGCTGAAAGCTGCTCGAACAGGAACGTTTTGAGCCTGGATTTAAAGTGTCCAGTGTTGGGGCTCTTCTAATGCTCTCGGTCAACTGGTTCCATTTAAGAGCAGCATAGTAGCAAAATGCGGCTTCCCCATGTCATGAGAGACTGGACGGTCATGTAAAAATGAATTAGGACTGTTTTCAGTACATAACTGGGCTCTTTAAGCACTGTCTCTGCCCTGCTCTGCTGATAAGTTTGATCAGAGTGAAGTTTCGATGATGTTATTATATTTTGTTCTTCAGAAAGATGGCTCGGAGCCGCTGGACCTGGTGGAGGTGGTGCAGGAGCTGCAGAGAAATCAGAGGGTGGAGCTGTGGGCGAAGCTGTCTGCGTTACTGCAGCACACACTCCAGGCCTACCCACCAGAGCGCTGGATCACAGGCCTCGACGGAGACAGTGGAGACGAGATGGAGGTGGAGGTGTCTGCTGAGCTGGTGCGTTTGAGGCTGCGTGATTATAACGCAATAAAATCTAATCAGACTTTTATTCACGTAGCGCTTTGGCATGCAGACGATTCAGTGTAAAGTGCTGTACAGAGTGGCACTCAGTGAAGATGGATGAGATAAGAACAAAAATAAATTTGCTAGTTTAAATTAAAGAGCCAAATTAAAAGGATTCAAAGGAAAAGAAAAAGCAGGCAGCAAAGATGTCAGAACTGAAAGAGATTAAAACAGAAGTGCCAAACTTAACAGATTCAAACAAATATGGAAATGTAAATATAGAATATATAGCGGTGAAAAATATAGATAGAAAAAGTGACTGATGAATAAGTGGATAGTGATAGATAGATAGATAGATAGATAGATAGATAGATAGATAGATAGATAGATAGATGCATGGGTGGGTGGTGATAGATTGAATGATCTATCCATCCATCCTAGGAGGGTGATAGATAGATCGACAGGTAGATAGACAGATAGATCCTAGGAGGATGATAGAAACTTATGTATGTTGATTGATTGATACCAGGAAGATGAAAGACAGACCTACAGATAAATCCCTGAAGTGAAATTGAAGTTATGTAACACATAACAAAGTGCAGAAGACAAAAACTTCAAACCCAAACACTGACATTTAGTCTTGTGTCTGTAAACAACAACCACAGTGAAGAACGAGCCCAGAGTGAACAATGAATAAACAAGTGCTGTGTCTATAATGTGGGTTATAGCTTCTGCTCAGTCAGTAAACACCTGATCCTAATATTAGAAGTACTGAGTTAATGATAACCGGACGTTCTAGGACCCATGTGTCTAACACAAGGCCTGCCAGCCAAGTCAGGCTTGTGGCACAGTCCTATTCGGCCCACATGTTTTAATTAAAATGTTTTAATGTTTCTATTCTTACTAACCCGTTTCGCCCTGAGCTGCACTACAGTCCCCAGCATGCACTGTAACGTAGTGTGCGTTCTGATCCCCTTCCCCCTCAACAACAAGCTATAGGCCAGCAGTTACACAAAAAGAAAAGATGCCTGGTGTCCAATTCTCACAGATAGGCAGTTTAACAAAATATATATATATATTATTTTTATTTAAATTATTTTTGAGTATTTTTTAAAAATAAGGGACCGTCGTCAGCTGGAGAGTTAGGGAACCAGCCCTGTAACCAGAAGGTCGCCGGTTCGATCCCCTGAGCCGACAGTAAGTGACTGAAGTGCCCTTGAGGAAGGCACCTAACCCCCAACAGCTCCCCGGGCGCTGCGGATAGGGCTGCCCACCACTCTGGGCAAGTGTGCTCACTGCCCCCTCGTGTGTGTGTTCACTGGTGTGTATGTGGTGTTTCACTGCACGGATGGGTTAAATGCGGAGGTGAAATTTAATTAAATTTAATAAGGGTCACTTAATCTTAATCAATGCCTATTTTGCTGTTGCAGTTTTGGCATATTTTGAATAAACAGTGGCCCGTTCAGCTCATGGCAAAATGCTAAGTAAAAATAAGACAAAAACACAGCTGACTCAGGGATTTGTTGAGAATTTTTAATATGGCCCTTTTAGTGGTTGAGTTTGACACCCCTGTTCCAGAAAATCAGACTCGTCCTTCACCACCAGCATTCTTACAGCCTTATTACACTGTAGCCAAGCCTGTTTAATGCTGGATATTGTATTACCACTAGGGGGGGCCCTAACATCATACAAATATTTTAACTTTCTTCATTTTCATTACTCTCCAGACAGTTCCTATAAACTCAGAAAGTCACATTTAGTCTGGATCAGGTCGTGCCAGGTCCCACGTATAGAGGTACTGATCTCATGGGAACAGAAAATGCGCTGATCCAGCATCAACGTGACCCACCTGGACCTTCACAGTTTGAAAACCACTGGCTTAAATTAGTATCTGGTGAAGTTTATTTATACAGCGCTTTTTACAGCAGGCGTTGTCACAGAGCAGCTTTACAGAAAAATCCATGTCCAAGTCCCCATGAACGTTGCCAGTAGCGACAGTGGCAAGAAAAACTCCCTAAGAGCAAGAGGAAGAAACCAAGAGGAACCAAGACTCAAAAAGGCAACCCATCCTCCTCTGGTCGACACCGGGTAGCAAAAGAATAACATAAGAGCAACATAAAGCCTCATTCTCTGTTAAACATTAGTGGAAAATATTAAAGTAGAGAAAAGGGGAAAAGCAGGAGAAGTAGTGGCTCTGATTAAGTGGGTCGTGTCTGTGCAGTAGCAGCATCATCAGGAGGGTCAGTTCATGCAGGTGAGGTTTGCACAGCAGGCAGCTCCATGATGGTCAAACTGGTCCAGAAGGCAGGTGAGCAGTGGGCACCTGATTAAGGCAGATGAAGCAACAGCATCAGACAACACAGGATGGGCGGTCATTCAGCTCGGAAAGAAACACCCAGGCAGTTAGTTGTGTTAAGAGCGGTATATAGACAGATATAACCATTTATACTGGCCACTTGAGCACCCAAGCCAGGGAGTCTTGTGGCCAGAATCATGGAAACATGTTCATCATTGTGTTTACATTTAACCAGCATGCTTCAGTGCCAAAGATGGCTTTGAAAAACGAACTAGTTTTTAAAATTATTCAAATGTTAATGTTAATAAGAACTTTACCATCATGTTAGCTGTCATGGTGGTTACAGTTCCCACAAAGTCTGATTTGATGCAGTTCCTTGTCTGACCAGACAGTTAAGTTACCCTTTATTAATCCCACAACGGGGAAATTCACCTCCGCATTTAACCCATACGTGCAGTGAAACACCACATACACACTAGTGAATGCACACACACTAGGGGGCAGTGAGCACACCTGCCCAGAGCGGTGGGCAGCCCTATCCGCAGCGCCCAGGGAGCAGTTGGGGGTTAGGTGCCTTCCTCAAGGGTACTTCAGTCATGTCCTGTCAGCTCAGGGGATCGAATAGGCAACCTTCCGGTCACAGGGCCGGTTCCCTAACCTCGACAGGCTCTAGATCTTGTGCAGAAAGGTGCAAAGTAGTTGTTATTAATGGTGAATATTTGTGAAACTGGTGGTTTGTTAAAAGGAAACATGAAAAAAAAAGCAGAAAATAATATACAAGGCTGGTGGACGCTCATGTTCTGTTTATTTATTTATTTATTTGTTTATTTTTGTGGCCAAAGTATGAAATGTTGTAGGCGGGGGCACCTGGCTGTGGGCAGAATCGTCTCGGGGTGTGCAGTCAGACTAATTTTGATATGAGTATCTATAAGAGTTCTTGTACGAATGTGTGGTTCACTAGAAGGAACCGAAAAACAGCAGCAAAACAAAAGCAGACTTTAGCTAAAATAATGCAGGCCTGTCAGAGAGATATTTTCATTGTTTCTGGGCCTAGGTAACATCATTCAGAGTAGTTAGCCTACACTCTTAAAAAAGATGGTTCTTCAAGGGTTCTTCAGTAAAGAAAATTGTTCTATATAGAACCACGAACACTCAAAGAACCCTTTGCGTGATTAAATGGTTGTTTGCATCATGAAAGCGTTCTTCAGATTGATGGAGAATGTGCTGTAGATGGTTCTATATAGAACCAAAAAGGGTTCTTCTATTGTTACAAGCTTGATATCGTTAAAATAGAAGAACCGTTTTTGGTGCTATATAGAACCAATTTGAAAATGGTTCTATATAGCACCAGTTTTGTGTAGAACCTTTTTGAAAATGGTTCTTTATGGCACCAGAAAGGGTTCGTCTATTGTTACAAGCTTGATATCATTAAAGTAGAAGAACCTTTTTGGTGCTATACAGAACTCTTGCAAAAAAGGTTTTATATAGAGCCATCTGCAGCACGTTCTCCATCAATCTGAAGAACATTTTCATGATGCAAAGAACCATTTAATCATACAAAGTGTTCTTTGAGTGCTCAATGTTCTATATAGGACCATTTTCTTTACTAAAGAGCCCTTGAAGAACCATCTTTAAGTGTGTGTAGTTAGTGATACAGCTGCGCTCTCTCAGCCATAGTAACTTTCTTAACCACATGCTCGAGTTCAAGCAGTATAACACTTAATCACATATGGGAGAAAAACCTCTCGTTTCACTGAATTGTTATCCTGTGTATTTTCTCTATATTCGTGTGATGAAACGTAACAGTTACTCAGATAGTGATGCTGATATTTGAATAATGGTATTTAAATCATACAATATACTAGATCATTTTTAAGCAATAGAACACGAGAGGGAGTGTTATCGCGAAATAACATCACGGCTGTGATTTGGTTGCAGGCAGAAGCTGAAGGCGAGTGGTGTTTTAACACACTCCTCGAGTGTTCTGTTGCTTTAATACAACAGTTCGAATAAATAAAGTAATAAATTAATAAACTGGGCCGTGAACGCGGCGTTTAATATGTTTTAATGTTCGCAGTTCCTTCACCAAATTATAGTTCCTTAATGAGCAGCTCGTTTCTACATCAGAGTAACGAGCTCCGCCCACTCGCTGCACAGCCAGCAGCTCGTTCTCCAGCTCCTTACACTAAATTCCCAAACTGTCATCACCACTGAGCAGCTTTTCAGTCGGCAGCTGTGACAGAAGAACAGCTAAACAACCTGGAATCAGCCAGAAATTAACCCAGTACCATTCGCCAAACATGTAGTCTGATGTTCAGAGTCTGACCAAATCAGACTGAGCTATAAAACTGTTTAAATATCAAGTTCAGTTCAAATGTCAGTTTTTGCCAGATCAATATTAATGTTGTTTTGTTCCAGCCAGTCTGTAAAGCATCTTACAGCCCATTTAGTTTGACCTTAAAAGTGTCCATTTAGACACAGAACACTTCTCAACCAATCAGCTCGCGTGGCTGAAACTAACTGTTGTATTAAGGCTCATATCTCGCTCTTCCATCATTCTGCATGTGTGAAATGTGTCTGTTTCTCTCTTTCCCTTAGAAACTCACGATGGCCGTGCTGGACGCCGTCACTGTAGTGTGTACGGTGTCTGTGGACGTTATTCAGGATGGAGACGCCTACACTGCTTTGCTGGACTGTGCTCATGTGCTAAATGGTAAGAGTGTCTTCTTTATTAGAGCACGACCAGTTATAACGGTTGGCTGATAAGATCAGTTTATCAGTTTTATCACTGTTGCCAAAAATATCAGATCTTTCTAATACGATGGTTCACATGTGCGTCATGTGACTCAAATCTCTCAACTTGCATCCTAAACGACCCGCGTCCGCACATCCTAACCAAAAACGTCACCTGTGTAAACCACATGTGTAATGAACAACAAAAACGAACTAAAATATTGGATTTCCTGAAGAAAAGCAGAGTGATTGCACGGTTGCTAAGGTGTTGATAGGCAGTTTCTATGATATAAGAATTGGTTGCTAAGGTGTTGCTAGAAGGGTGCTATGGGGTTGTGGCGTGCGCCCGTCCACCGGGCCCCGATGGCAGCCGCCAGAGCCGGCAGGAAGGTGGGGGCCGAGCTCCGAACGGGGCCGAAGCCAGACGAGGACGGCGGGGAGAGGAACACCGCAAATGAGAGGGGGACAGCGTGCAGCTCCCGAGCCTCGCCTTCTGGGCGCTGCCTCCGGTCCCACAGCGAGGTCACGTTAATCAGCCTCACGTTCGATCCGGGCGGACGGGCTGCGAACGGGGGTCGGTGACGAGGAGGCGGAGCAACAAGCTCCCGTTCCCTCTCGCCTCTCGGCATCACTGCTGTGTCTGATCCACTCAGACCAGCGCAACACACACTAACACACCACCACCACGTCAGTGTTACTGCAGTACTGAGAATGATCCACCACCCAAATAGTACCTGCTCTGTGAGGGTCCATGGGGGTCCTGACCACTGAAGAACAGGGTAAAAGGGGGCTAACAAAGTATCAGAGAAACAGATGGACTCCAGTCTGTAACTGTAGAACTACAAAGTGCACCTATATAGTAAGTGGAGCTGATAAAATGGACAATGAGCGTAGAAACAAGGAGGTGGTCAGAATGTTATGCCTGATCGGTGTATAATCTCCTTAGAAATACACCCTGAAAATGAACAACTAGTACTTAAATGAAGGAAGAATGGTTTCTGACCTTTGTGCAGGACTGTGTGGGCGTTCTCGTATAACATATGATTTTTTTTTTTTTTATTTGCACCCTCATCAGAATGATTTCTGCATTTTATCTGATAAGGTTCACACTTTGTTTGTTCCCTTCAATTCAGCTGTACCAAAATTGTGAATAAGACCAAACACATATTTAGCAGTTACTCTTGTCCTGAGTGTCTTGCACTATGAGGATTTCAGTGTTTCGAGGTTTTTCTTCTTTTTCTGTTTTTCTGAACTATTCTTACTGTACGAAGTGCCATTACATATTTATGTGCTGTTTATTCAGAGTTTGTTCTCTTTCTTTCTCCAGGTATAGAGAGCTCTCTGCCTGTGTCTGAGATGCCTCTTCAGCAGGCTATTCATTGGCTCTTTGAATGCTGGTGGAGGCGGGGCCTGCAGGGGAAGGAGGAGCTCGGCTGGACCGCGTTTGTCGTTTGTTTGGAGAATACGGTCACACTCAAGACACCGGTAAACACTATAGGGGAATGTGACAAGGCCTTCAGAATTTCTACGTAATTAAGTGGTTAAGATGTAAACAGAGTCATTCAGAGTGGTTTGGTGTGAAACGCTCTGTTCTAGAGAAACAGAGTCAGAATTGTTCACAGTGGTGGTGATAGGAACCAGACGTCTGAAGAGTTTAATGCTCCTCAAAGCTGCCTTACTGAAAGGTATTAAAAGAAATGGTTATGAGTATGCTGCGTGATGCCTGAGGCATTGTTTTGTGATCTTTTTGAGATCTGTTTCTGGCAGGAAACATTTTAATATCCATTCTTGGTGGAGAGATACATGCAGAGCTTTGAAGGGCAAAATAGTCCTTCTTCCCTCCCCTTCAGACTTTCCACTATTTTACCATCATCAATATTCCATATAAAGCTCAGGAGACTTGTGTAGGTTCACTGGTTGTTCTGGATAGTAAATGAAGTGTCTATATTTGTGTTGTAGTCATGGCAATCCCTGGTTCCTATCACCACCACTGTATAGAAATCTGTGGCTATGTCGAAAACAGCATAGTAGCATAATAAGAACAATAATAACAAATAATGTGAAAACTAGTACACCCCCATTAAAAGTCCAGTCCTAAGTGTAGCATGGGTAGCACGGTATTATGCAGTTTTGGATGCAGCCTGAGTCTCTACAGTCCATTTCACACCAAACCACTCTGAAAGACTTTGTTTACAATCAGGTTTTGCAGAAAAGAATACACAAGAATATAAAACATAGCGTGTTATGATGTCTAAGGCCTGGAGAGAAAATCATAGAGGGACAAGGTAATTTGTTCAGCACAGTGGAACTTAATCAGATGTATACTAAGGAATGTGGTTATGATGTAGGGAAGCAGTAGGACTTACAGGAGACTGTTTTCTGCTGTGTCACACATGATTTATCTACGTTTAATGCACACCCTGTGCTGGAACTGGTTAGAGCTAAATGATGCGTCACTGTACTAACTCATAGTGAAAGGCGGTGAAGACGCTGATACCACAAAGCAGTGTCTGATGCACATCACAAAACTTAGTGGCACGTACAGGTGCGCCAGTAGATGACTGCTCAATGACATTAATTAAAGCTTGGTTAAAATATATAAATATCGAGATTTACAGACTTATTTATCGACCGATCTTAAGGATCAGGTATCATTATCGGAAGGGAAAAGTGGGATCAGTGCCTTGCTGCTATTAACAGAATCGTATGGTCATATGGCCCACTCTTAGGCCCAGTCCCATTTCACCCTCTGCCCTACCACTTAGCCCTACCCCTCCATTTTGAGCGTTCATGCCTAGGGGTGTCCTGATTCTTGTTGAGATAGAGGGGTAGGGCGAAGTGTTAGGACTACATGGCCCTTCAAGCAGAGGTTTTTCAGAGACTACAAACAGAGTGATATGAGAAAAAAAGAAAAAACGGCAAGATGGCTGAACAAGAGACCAAAAAAACACACAAATGTGAGAATTTTCTCTGTTAAAAAATTGCAGTAACCACTGTATTATATTAGTTTAATGTCGTTTCAATGTATTATGGTCCTTTTCTTCATAACAAGCATAAAAATAGGTAGTAATATGCTGATGTCTCGGTAGCTAGCTAGATAAATTTCGAACAAGAAGCTAGCAAACAGCTGACTTCAACTTCATATCACTGAAGAATTAGGGGTGGGTGATAATAAATAGTTGCCCCTCTTTGAAGGCATATGACTCCCTAAATGTAACTAAAGCCCAGCAGTGAGGAGCTGAACTTTACCCTCCTCTGCTGTCACTGCAGACTGGCAGGGTCGCCTACAGAGCAGCGCTAGTAGCTGTTAATGAAGTGATGCTCTTTTTATTTGAGGGTCCCATTTCAGAGGGAAGATTTCAACCACAACCCACTGTAACTCCAAGGGGCATGGAGACACTCGAAAGCAAGGGGTAGGGGTAAAAATAAGAAACAGGACTGGGCCAACGTGGTCAGATGGTGGTGTTCTGGAATGAGTGCGCTGTGTGTTTCTTGCACTGTGCTCAGATGAATAATGATTGTTTTTGTTCTGTGTTGTTTTATTCTCAGGTGAGGGAGCTGAACAGGCTGTACAGCCTGAAGGAAGTGTTACTCACGGTGGACTTTGATTCGGAGAGAGGTCAGTACGTCACCAGCCCTCTGCTGCAGTGCTTCCTCAGCACCAACCACATCAAACGGGAGGAGGTGAGCACACCTGTGTCTCCCTGTATTCACCCTATTGCAGCTTTAAACACACCTGAGCTGGGTAATCTGTGTTTAGCAGCACCTGATTTCCAGCAGAAATGTAGTGATTCAAAAAACATTTGATTAAGTTTACCTTTTCATTTAAATTTAGGGGTTTGTGGTTGTTTTTTAATACACCAACTTCCCAGATAATAATTTGATTTAACACAATATTGAATCGGTTACATGAGCTTGTTCTTATGGCTATAGAGAAAGATCTGTCGGCCTGATCATCTTTAGATGATGTCACTTGACCGATTTTTTAAAAAGAAAATCAAGCTGTTGTCTGCAAATAAATCCTAAAGAGAACTAATAAGGAAGGCAAATCAATGGCCAAAAGTTTGTGACGTGCCATTAACAAAAGGATAAAGACACACATAAAATGTTGTGTGACGATTTTGGTTGGTGGACTATTCTCAGTCCAGCAGTGACACTGAGGTGTTTAAAAACTCCAGCAGCACTGCTGTGTCTGATCCACTCAGACCAGTGCAACACACACTAACACACCACCACCACACGTCAGTGTTACTGCAGTGCTGAGAATGATCCACCACCCAAATAGTACCTGCTCTGTGAGGGTCCATGGGGGTCCTGACCACTGAAGAACAGGGTAAAAGGGGGCTAACAAAGTATCAGAGAAACAGATGGACTACAGTCTGTAACTGTAGAACTACAAAGTGCACCTATATGGTAAGTGGAGTTGGTGGTGGTCATAATGTTATGCCAAATCGCTGTAAATACTAAATAATAAACATAAATTGTCGCCTATGAAAAGTTTATGCCACATTTTGTTTTGTTTTTTCCCCCCGGCTTGGTAAATTCAGCAAATAAATAGTGTGTTTATTGTGCATTAAAATGTGCAGAAGTGTGTTCTCTGTGGAGGATGTGTTTATTTATTTTCACTTAGAAAATCAATAACATGCTCTTTGATTAGGTGTGCCCAAATATTTGCATGCAACATGCAACTAAATGAAAAATTAACCTGGATCAAAATTTTTTTGCTTTTAGTTCTTGTCTCTGGTCATTTCATATCATTTAAAAGATTTGTTTTCTTGTAATCCATTAAAATGTAGTGACTTTTATCCACCTCTGTAAACGTCTTCTGAGTTTTGATTAAGTAATGTGCGCAGAGCAAAATAATATAACCTAATAATATCATGTTTCAGCCCCCCACATCCTGTCAGGGAGAGAAAACGCTCCGCCAGACCCTCCCTGATACCGTGTTTCACTAATAAAAACCATCACAGTGCTGAAGGAGGATGCGTTATGATTTCTGATTCATGTTCAGTTAAAAAGATACTCTTTGTTTTAAACCCTCAGGTGTCTAACATGGTTGTATGGCAGTGTATGAGGTTCATGTTGGGCATCCCTATAGAAGGAGCTACATGTTCTGATGCGAACTGTTTGTCCTTTTTGCTCAGGGGAAACGTTTTCTGGCATTTCTCTTCGGCTGGGACGTGAACTTCGTCAGGATGATCCACGAGACCATCAAAAACCAGCTGCAGTTTTTCTCTAAGTGAGTGTTTTACAGATAACACAACTAGTTATGTTTCTGATGTGATCTAGAATAGGTGTTCTCAACCTTTTCCACCCCACGGCCAACCTGTGTATAACTATAAAGCATAGCGGCCCACAGAAAAAACATCATTTCAAAAAAAGCCATCTACCATCTACAGCACATTCTGAAGAACCCTTTCACGATACGAAGAACCCTTTAATCCTGCAAAGGGCTCTTTTAATGTTTCATGGTTCTGTATACAATTCTTTTCTTTATGACAGAACCTTTGAAGACTAGTCTAGTACAAACACTGTAAACTGTACTTGCTGAATGATTGATGTTTACGTCATTAGTGCTCTGCAGTTCTTTGTGCCGTCTGTAAATATCATCTTGGCGAATTAAATTGTAGCTTGTTTTAAGAAATATTGTTTGAAACAAACAAATTATCTGCCGGTATATTCAGATAATCTAGTAGAAAGTAGAAGAAGAGTAATGAGTAATGTTGCCTAAAGAGGAGAGAAAACTCCATCATAGGAGGGTAACGACATCAGCTAATTAACACAGATGTGAACAATGCTGGCCTTTAGATAACTTTAGCTGATGTTAACAGCCGAGAGATGAACAGTCGCCCCCCTAACGGAGCTGCAGACAGCCGGTATAACTTCACTCTCTGTTTCTGGAGATTTAAATGACGTTGAATGGAGAAACATAAACGTTAAATATCAGACTGAATGTTGTGGGTCGGAAAACTTTGTTGTGTTTGACAGACGTGATTCTGTAAGTTTGTTAGTTCAGTTCCCAGCTCCAGTCCTGAAACCCCTGCACTGCATAACTGTACATCATGTGCATAATTCACAATCACATCGCACTAGCAGATTCACTCCCTGATTCGGTCCTCAAAACGGCAGCGACTATACAATGTGACGTCATGTGAAACGTGAGAATATATTTTCAGAGTAGGTCATGTAAAGTTATAGTGACTGTTTATCTACGTACTATTTTCATGGGGCTCTTGGCTCATTGGGGCCTTCTGCGACCTCTGCCTAGTACAAATAGCGCCGTTGTACAGGCAGAATACCGTACTGCAATAATATTGCTGCATATAATGGTTATGACCAGGGGTGGGAATCACTGCAGGCCCCACAATATGATTTTCCGATACTTGAACCACAACGCAATTTTAATCACATTTATAAAATCCACATTTATAAAAGCCTTTTCCCTTCATTTGCATATTCCTTCAAAACAGACTTTACTCTGCATATTTAAAAAATACTTTTATCCTGGCAGATGAGTGTAAAGTTAGGACTCTCCTCCAGTGTCTGTCGCAGAGCGATCTGCACCATCAGACTGTTCATAACACTCCACTCACAGAAACCGTAAATGTCATTTTGTTGATTAAGAAAACTGTATTAATACTATTTTTAAAGGCAAAAATAGTGTAATATTATACTGTGATTTTTTGATGGTCATCTTGTGCCGATTTAATTAATAATTATAATAATAATTGTCATTATTAATAGTAATTATTGTTGGATAACATGAACGCCTTGATTTGCCAGAACACCCACAGAAACTCGTCTGGAACTGTGATTAGTCAGGATGAACTGCTGAGACATCAATTATAGAAAAGCTCTAATTATTCATTTCAACTCTTCTCCCAGGGCTGTGGCGGCCGATGTGGCGGAGATCTACTTCAGGGCGTGGAAGAAGGCGAGCAGCCCATTCCTGGAGGAGATCGAGTCTTCCTGCATCCAGGACTTCATGCAGCACGCTCTGCTCCTGCACAGAACCTCACCCGTCCACCCCAAAGTCCGGCAGGTCAGAAACCTTCAGGGCTACATTACCCCCTCCTTTGGCTGGAGTTAAAGTTGGTTATTTTTCAAATATGCTGGTTGATGCGACATCAGTACTGGTATAGATGAAACATTACCCAGGACATTTCAATTTTGAAGTTATGACGTTATCATGAAAAATAATGAGAACTTTGTTTACTGGGGGCTCCAGATAAGAGGAAAAAAAAAGAAAAAAGTGTTTTCCTTAATGGAAAAGTGCTTTCTGTTTAGTTAATGTTAACCATAACCAACATAAGCAAACAATACAAATCAGTCCAGTCGAAATAAGCTATAACATGTTAGCACTGGCAACATGTTAGCATCGGAAACTTGGGCTCATTAACTTTAATGAACCTCATTATCATCTGGTACTGCAGGGTTCGGCAGGGCGAGCATTTCGGCCTTCTTTTTTAAAATGTGCCAGAACTGATTTAATGGAGGGATGGAAATGTAGCAGTCATGCAACACAGGACAGTTATAATAATAAGGGTGATATAAAAAGAAGAATATATACAAAAAACCTATCTACAGGCATATATACAACTAGAAATATACAAAAATCTGCAATAATTTCTAAGATTAGAGAGTAGATTTTGGCCTGTATAACCTGCCTCTACGTTATGTGCATTCACACTGCATGAATACGAACACGCAGATTTTCAGATTTGTATTTATTTATTTTTTTTCTTTTTTAATGATGTGTTCCAGTGGCCCCAAATGCTACTATATTTACAGGACGTGATGAGAAAATTAGCCATTATTCATGTCACAAGAAGCCTCACTGACCAGCACAGCTGTCAAGTCTCACAGTTTAGTTCAGAACTGCTGATTTACCATAAGACTCAACATGGGCTTTTGTTTCTAGCAGTATCTGAGCTCAGGACTGACTTTCTCTCTAACCTATTTGTAGCTAGCAAAGATGCTTTCTATCTTTGTAGACAACAAAGCACTTTTGTAAGTGGCTCTGGATAAGAGCGTCTGCTGAATGCTGTAAATGTAAATAAAAGCCGAGTGTGTTGGTCTCACGCGCTGGCGTTTAAACAGGCTACCAAACAACTGGCAGTTAAAGGGATCCCTTACACACCAGAAAAATTGCCTGACTGAATTAATTGTTTAATTTGACAGCATTGAAAAGTTTTTTGTGTAGTTTGAAGGCTTGCTGTGAAGATAGCAGCATCAGGACTGTTTAAAATTAAATACAGTAGAAAACAGCTGCACACTCACACAACTAGTGAGGGGCTTTTCAGCTCTTTTCTATTAGACACATCATTCAGCTCGGATCACCAATAAGGACCGACTCTTTCAGCTCCAAAACAGCTCTTCGTTGTTATAAGTTAGCAGTGTTATTTCTATTTTAAGTCTGGGTTTATATTATAGTTAACAGAAAAATTGCACTATATTATTAAACACTATTTCAATAAATGTGAAACTATTAAGATGTTACAGTTACAAAAGGCTGTCCAGCGAATGTGCTGGTAACACCTGCTGGCACAAAGATACACCTTGTGTTAGATAAAAGACAGGAGCACAGATGAAATGAAAGAAACTGTAAGAAAAGAACATAATAAATACTGACTGACTGGAAATGATGGTTCCTATGTTGTTCCGGTAATCCGTAGGACAAGGTAGGAAAAATCTGATTGCTAAACTAAACATTCTCTCTGACTGATGAAGAGAAATAAAGAAGAAATGTTCATACGCAGTTTGTGCTCATAGGTTTTTCTGTGTGCGCCTGTTTATTTCACCTGTGCTTCCTGGCAAAAAGAACCCTGTGTTTGGGAAATACTGTGATATTAAATATTAACCGTACCGTCCAGCTTTGTTTGAATGGTGAATGGTTGTTTGAACAGTATAAATGACGGTGTAATGTCCTTTTACAGAGAAGTAAATGAAGGGATGTTTTTTTTTTCTTTTTTGCTGTTAGAATGGCCTTATTGAAATGAATGCAAACCTTCCTTTGCCAGTTTAATGAGTGCATCACTGTCTGTCCTACAGATTCTGACGTATTTCCACAAGCAGAAGTTTCGTCAGGGAATAGATGAGATGCTGCACCGCCTCTATAAGCCCATCTTGTGGAAGGCTCTAAAGGTAACATCTAACCCTTAATCCTCAGTGACGGCAACAGTGTTGTGTCGTTTTCATACAGCCATTGACTTCACAGACTGCCAAATCGCACACCATGGTGTCCACAGACTGAGTCCAGTGTTGGAGACCATATTTTAACTGTTAGTGTTTTCATAGAGCTACTTTCTGATCTACAATACACACGGAACTCAGATACTTCTTCTGTGTGGCATTGTGTTTAAAGTAGGGCTGCAACAAACGACTGATTTGATAGTCGAATAATTAATCGATTACTGAAACAAATAATCGATTATTCGGATTATGAATCACTACATTTCCAAATGACTCTTATGTAGCTATCAGCTTTTAAATTTAGCTTTTTTGTTTTATGCATTTGTTAACTAACAATGAAGACAATAAAGATGAACACCTTATTCAAAAATTCACTGTTTTAATGAACTTTCCTTCTAATACAAAAGATAAATAAAACTCCAATATCTTTTTCCTGTGAAAATTTAAAACCAAGAATGTGCCGTTGTTTGGTAATCTCTAACAGACTTGCTTGTGTGGATTCTGACACTAAAAATTGCATTGCGCAGCTCGAAACAGCAGTAGCAGCCTTAGGATTTTTGTCCGTACCTTGATTATGATTATAACAGTAATAATACTTATAATAAACTTTATTTATAGAGCACTTTTGTAGGTAGCAGGTAAGTGCTTTATAGAGAAGAGATAAAATTCAGTAACTAATAAAAAAAAATTGAATAAATGAAAACTAAGATTATTAATTACAGTAAACTGAAATGACAGCGTAGATACAATTAAAAAAGATAAATACAAAAACAAAAGTATAATTTTAATTAGAAACTAAATTAACGGGATACATTTTCAAATGTTTACTGAATTTTACTGCCGGCTGCTACAGTTTGGAAGCATAATAACAAACATAATAACAGCTTCTTGAGTTTCTCTATGTAAGGAGAGTATTTACAATAGTCAAATATCTGCAGATCTAAGATCACATGGTGGAACATGAACCTACATTCTGTGTGGTACTCAAGTGTTTTAAGGCCGTTTAGAGGTTTAAAAGAAGGTAACTTTAAAACTAATCCTAACGAAGATTGGTAACCAGTACAGTTCTTTCCAAACGGGGGATGATTTTTGATTTTTTAAAGTTTTGTGGCATCCACTGAGAAATGCCATCTGGTAAGCGACAGCTGGTAAGCCTGTCAACAAAGTTTTCATTTTCAGCAGGAATGGAAATATAGAAATGCACATCATCAGCATAATTGATATAATTGTATCTGATAACATCACCCACAGGTAACATGTGCAAAGAGAAAGACAAAGGCTCCAATATTGAACCCTTGTGGGACTCCACAAGAAAGGTTACCTTTATTTGATGAATGATTTCCCAGTGAAACTAAACTGTCTATTCATTAAATATGATTTAAGCCATTCAGCCCAGTATTCAGATGGTAGGTTAACAACCTTTGATCAGCTGTACCAAAACCTGTGCTGAGATCCAGTACGACCAAAACAGAAGGATTTTGTGCGTCAGCGCCAAGTCTGAGGTCATTCACGACACAGACCAATGCTGACAACTTGAGTGTGATGATTTTGGCATGTAGTTAGCATGATGCTAATTGGTGGACTATAATCTTCCCTTACTTGTTAGCTGCATTATCTACATTATTTCTTTTCCCCAGGCGGCGAATGCGGATGTCCGCGCAAACGCCGCTCTGCTGTTCACTGAGGCGTTTCCTGTCCATGACCCTGGGCTGAGCAGTGAGAAGGTGGATGAGCTGGTGCAGAAACAGCTGGATACGCTCTTCGTGAGTCTGTCTGTCTGTCTTTTACAGTGCTGTTATGAGTCTCTTCCTCTGTAACAGCCAACAAGGACGTTCACCATCACTTCTTTCTTGAGAGAGTGATATTCAGTGTCTGCCTGATCAGTGCTGTTAATCGTAGTAAAGCTGAAAGAGGATTGAGGAACAAGAACCTGCCTTTTCAGTTTTTGGATTGGGTCACGTCTGATCCTTTTTTTTGTTGTTGTTTTGTTTTTTTGTTTTGTTTTGTTTTTACTGTTTTGGGATTAAGTTCAGTTTTTAAGGCTGAAAGCTGGATGAAAAGACAGGTATTCCATTCCGGCTGTTCCTTAAGGCTGTTAGGATCAGGAGTTTTAGCTGACATATTTTAATTGTCATAGTAATTGATTGTAATTAATATGTTTATTTCGGTTTATCAAGGTCTTTACACCCATAAAAATAAAAGAGAAAAAAAGGAATAATAGGTGACACAAAAAATAAACGGAAAAATTATAGGTATAAAATTAATGGACATAATAATCAATACAAAAACGAGTACTGACCGAAAAGGTGTAGTCTGAAGCTGTAGCAATCCTGCATTTAAACAATACAGAGTAATATCAAAACGGAAATAAATCAATCGACATTTCAGAACATTTGATACATAATAATGATCATTCCTCAGTCCAAGTCCTTATCACTCTTATTCGTCTTATTTGACAGATATACATCTATTTTTAAATTTGTCCTTGCTCTTGGTTTTTTAAACATACGTGTTCCCCTGAGTCCCTCTTTTCTCTCTTTAATTGCAAACAGTTTCTGGATACAGTTTGGTAGTAAATTGTTTTGTGCTTTGTACATTATTTAAATTGTCATATGAATAATTGCGATTAACGATGTAGTTGTGCAGTTTTTGCGGCTATTAAAACCGAAGCCTAAAAGTGGCCAAATAAATTACATTTATTTATTTGCACTCAATTTTTTGCAGCATAATATGACTGTGAAGTGTAACGACTGTGGAAAACGATTACAGGCAGCTTAAATAATTGCGCTCATCTCAAATAATTGTGATTATGTAATAATTGTAAAGGGCCTACTGTTCAGTCAAAAAGGGCCTGTTTTTCAGGAAATCAGGGGCTGTATTATGGAAACTTCCTGTCTTTCATCCAATGTTAAGATGTGATTTTTGACAAGATTAGATTTTTCACAAATTGGTATTACAGAAGTAAATCTTATCTTAATTTAGGAATCTTATCTTACAGCATCTTATTTCAAATTAGGAAATCCTAAACTACTCGATCGAGGTTGATGATTTATCATGTCTGTTAGATAAGATACTGAAAATAGATAAGATACTGAAGATAGATAAGATACTGAAGTTAGATAAGATAATAAGATAAGATAAGTTAGGAAGTGGTATTCTGTAATAGCTGCTGTCCTAAATTCAGTCCTAATTGTTGTCATCATGGTGACTAAACAGGTAAGATTGCAGGGCAGTTAGTGCACTGACAGAGTCTTAGCTGACCAAGAAGGCTGCAACTGATTAGAGGAGGCGTCCCTAACATGCTGCAGTACTGACTATTGAAAAACAGAGTCGATGATTTGTAGTGAAAGGCTCGATCCCATTTCTTATTTTTACCCCTACCCCTTGTTTTCAGGTGTCACTGGAGTTACAAGAGGTAGTGGTTGAAATCTTTCCTAAGAAATGAGACCCTCAAATAAAAAGATCATCACGTCATTAACAGCTACTAGCGCTGCTCTGTAGGAGACCCTGCCAGTCTGCAGTGACAGCAGAGGAGGGTAAAGTTCAGCTCGTCACTGCTGGGCTTTAGTTACATTTAGGGAATCATATGCCTTCAAAGAGGGGAGCAATTATTTATTATCACCCACCACTAATTCTTCAGTGATATGAAGCTGAAGTCAGATATTCACCAGATTCTTGTTCGAATTTTCCCATTCCAGCTTAAATGGAGCAGCAGTTACATTCAGGCACTTCAGGCGTCAGAACATCGTTTAAGGTGTAACGGGAAATTTAGCTAGCTGGCTACTGAGACATCAGCACTACTACTAGCGATTTTTTTTTTTTTTATGCTTGTTATGAAGAAAAGGACCATAATACACTAAAACAACATTAAAAAGAGATAATAAAATAGTTATCATATTTTTTGTATTGGAGAAAATTCTCACATTTTGGATTCTTTGTCGTTTGTGCCGCCATCTTGCCGTCTCATAACTCTCTGTTTGGAGTGTGTCTTTGAAAAACCTCAGTTTGGAGGGTCATGTAGCCCGAACACTTCACCCTACCCCTCTATCTCAACTAAAATCAGGACACCCTACTCCTAGACGTGAATACGCAGAACGGAGGGGTAAGGGCTTAGTGGTAGTGGTGAGGGGTGAAATGGGATTGGGCTAAAATGTGCTTTAACAATGTTTACAAAAGTTGATTGTAAAGTAGTATCAACAAGTCATATATAATAATCCAGCTTGTCTTTGGTTTGTGTGCCCTGTTGTCTTGTTGGATGTCTCTGCAGGCTCTGCTGGATGATCCGCGACCGTTGGTGCGTTCCTCGGCTGTTTTGGGGGCGTGTTCAATTCTGGCGCGCTGCTGGGAGCTCCTCCCCTCCACAGTCATCACTGACCTGTTGAAGAAAATCCTCCTCCAACTGGCCACTGACACAAGCTCCCCCGACGTCCGCTGCGCCGTCTTCATGGTGAGAAACCCCAAGAGTTAAAGTGATTTACCCAAATATACACAGTTTTTCCCTCTTACCCCAAATGTAGTCAGTCAGTCTGACATGTTGAGTGTCTGAAGTTTGCTTTTTTTTAGTTTTGCACTGGAGCTACAAGGCTAATGTGGCTAACAAGCAATGGATGATTATACCCCACCAATCAGCACAGTGCTAACTGCGTGCCCGTCGCACACTCGCCTCAGAACGTGTGGAGCTGTTTCTGTGTTTCTGATGCCGTCAGACATTCTGTTATACGCTATAAACATGGCCAGTAGTTAAATGCGTAGTTTAAAGCTGTGGTCTCATTTTGTAGCTCAGTATCAGCTCAAGTCTGTAGCTCAGGTCTCAGTATCAGTAACTACACTATGTGGACAAAAGTATTGGGACACCTACATATTACACCTGCAGGAGCTTTTATGACGCCTCATTCTAAATCCATAGGCGTTAATATGGAGTTGGTCTCCCTTTGCAGCCATAACAGCTTCCACTCTTCTGGAAGGCTTTCTACAAGAGTTTGGAGAGAGTCTGTGGGAATTTTAGCCCATTCATCCAGAAGATTTGTGAGGGCAGATACTGATGTTGGACGAGAGGGTCTGGCTCACAAAGTTCATCCCAAAGGTGTTTGATGGGGTTGAGGTCAGGGCTCTGTGAGGGCCAGTCAAGTTCTTCCACACCAAACTCACCCAGTCAGGCCTTTATGGAGCTGCTTTGTGCACTGGGACTCAGTCATGCTGGAACAGAAAAGGGCCTTCCCCAAACTGTTCCACAAAGCTGGAAGTGTACAACTGAAACACAACCTCATATCATCATCCCTCCTCTACCAAACTCTACAGCTGGCACAGCGCAGTCAGGCAGGTAATGTTCTCCTGGCATTCGCCAAACCCAGACTCGTCCATCAGACTGACAGATAGAGAAAGCTGATTCGTCACTCCACAGAATACGTTTTCGCTGCTTCAGTGTGCAGTGGCGGCGTGCTTTACACCTCTCCCCAAGTATTGGGATGTCCCAATACTTTTGTCTATATAGTGTATGTAAGGATGTAGTGTATGTTGAGATCACTAAACAACAGGTTTTACGTGGTTTAAGACAAGTGTGATGTGATTTTAGCTTTAAAGCTCTTCGAGATAATACAGTAAAAGTTATAGTTACAGAAGGAGAAATCTGGCCCGTGTTGTGCCTCTTTCAGAAACACTTATAGCTTCAGCGTGAATGTTCTAAACAGGCAGATAAATATCTTGAGTTCAGAGGGCTGATTTTATACTACATAGACTGTATGGAATTGAATGGTATGTTTTGAAACTTTACCACTGTTTACATATTTAATCAAACTCTTTCAGTCTTTCAGAAGTGACTTAAATGTGGGAGCTCATAAAAATGATCACAGAAAGATGAATCTCTAATCTGTTTAAGTGTGTATGTTTATATATGTACCTGTCTGTGTGTTTAGTGCATATCGATGATACTGGATAACAGTATGAGTCATCCACTGATGGAGAAGTTGCTTCCAACACTGAAGACCAGCCTTCACGACACCTCAGAGAAAGTGCGCGTGGCCTTTGTGGACTTGCTGCTCAAGATCAAAGCTGTCCGAGCAGCCAAGGTAAGACAGAGCCCCCCTACCTTGTGCACAACTGACACGTTATCAACCTGTTTGTGACTGTGTACATGTGGACAGTGAGCGCACATGTACTTAATAGTAACAGCAGAAATAACCACTGCATCTGCCTTAAACGTTAAAGAGCATCATGTGGAAGAGCACAGAGTGCGGGTGGGCGAGATGTGGGAATTTGGAGAAAATATCTAATTGCTATTTAAATTGTGTATCTCCTATAAGCTCAGACCAGCAAATCCATTTTTTTAGGCTTGAGGCTGAATGTAGTGCATCTAATTTGTCGTACTCATTTATAGGCAGCGCAAACTTTGTATTAGATTAAATTTATCCATTTAAAACTTTTTTTTTATGTTAAAATGTTGATTTCTTATTGTTTTCACATATAGTTTGTTTTAAAAGAACCAGACTGAGTTCTGTTAAAGTGGACCTGAAAGGGAACCAGCTGCAAATGACCTCAGTTCTTTTTGTGTTCACAGTGTAAGTGAACTATAAAGAGGTTTTCTTTCTGGTATTTTTTTTTTTATTTTTTTTTTAACTCTGATGAGATCTCCGACCACTTCTCGTTCAGACCACAACTCCATTAGAACTCAGACCCCTTTCACAGCACTCACAGTGCTCGCAATGTGGGCAGCGTTTTCTGATAAAACGTTTTAGGCAGCGAGAGGAACCACCCGCCTGCTGCTTTCCTGCTGGCCACACTGAAACGATTGTGCAAAATTGGAAAAATGACCCTGCAGGTCTGCCGTGATGGGTTCTGTTTTTGGCTGTGCTCATCACCGATCTCCACCCAGAGAAAACCTGCTTCTGCAATAAATTTACATTCATTCAGCGTGAAAGCAGCTTAAAATTGCATTGCGTGCCCAGCATGAGCCTTTAATCACGTCGGGTCTGCTGTCCTGTTGCAGATCACAGACAGGCTTTATCCTGAGTGGAACCTTATAAATGACCCTTGGTCTGTTTTACCAGCTGTAGTGCTGAAGACTGTGTGTACGGTGAGCCTCGAGGTTTTCACCGTAAAGCTAAAGTGGATTGGGGCAGTTTTGTTTTTACAATGCACAAATCAATCGAAACACAAAACGAACCACAAATGAACGAGATGGTCTCAGTTCAGTTCGTTTTTGGGGCTGTTTAGAGGGGTCTGAGTTTGTTTGGCATGTTCACATATGCAAAACAAACCATGACTCAGCAGATGCTGAAACGGCCCAAGTGTGAAAATGCCCTTAGGCTATTAATAAAAATGACCACTCTTGCGATTAAAAGTTGCACTCTTCCAAATCGCGATTTTGATATAAAAACTATTAATCCTTCAGCCGTAGCGATATGGCAGAAATGTCCTATCATGACATACGAAGACATTTTCTTGATATGTGTCATGATAATTCGCCACAAACGCAGTGCAACAATAGTGCACATTTAAAAACAGCCATCAGAAAATCTGGATACAATGATTTTTATTCAGTGTTTTACATTGATTTTCTTTTTTTAATTAATCATTTGGTCAGTGTTCTTTAAGGATGGACAGTATCCTCAACAGAAGAGCATATTTTGTATCACAATAATAAAATATTTAAAATGTCATCGTATTACCCACCTCTAGTATAGTGAGAGGGAAAGGATATAACTGAATTCAGTTTGCTTAGTTGAGTGGCAGAATGTAAATCTAAAATCGTTTCTCTTCATTTCTTTCTCTCTCTCTTTTTTTTTTTCTTGTGTTTTCTTTCCCCGGTTCAGTTCTGGAAGGTATGCTCAATGGAGCACCTGCTGGCTCGGCTGGAGCTCGACTCTCCATCCGTCTCTAAGCGAATCGTCAACCTGCTCTTCAACTCGTTCCTCCCTGTCAGTCAGCCGGAGGAGGTCTGGTGTGAGCGCTGCGTCACCATGATTCAGATGAACCCGGGAGCCGCCCGCAAGTTTTACCGCTACGCCTACATGTACACGGCACCCACTAATATAGGTATGTTTCTGCGCAGAATACGAGTTTAAGAGACTATACATTATATAGACAACAGTATTGGGACACCACTGCTAATTATTAAGTTCAGGTGTTTCAGCCACACCCATTGCTAAAAGGTGGAAAAAATGAAGCACATAGCCTTGCAGTCTCCATAGACAAACACTGGCAGTAGAGGGTCGAACTGATGAGCCCAGTGACTTTAAACACGGCACTGTCATAGGATGGCACCACAGCCACAAGTCAGTTTCTGTCCTGCTAGATCTGCCCCAGTCAACTGTAAGTGCCATTATTGTGAAATGGAATCACCAAAGAGCAACAACAGCTCAGCCACGAAGCGGTAGACCACGCAAACTCACAGGGGTGGGCCGCTGAGTGCTGAAGCTCACAGTGTCTATCCTCTGATGAATCATCACTAAAGAGTTCCAAACTGCCCCTGGAAGCAACATCAGCAAAAGAGCTGCGCGTTAGGAGCTTCATGAAATGGGTTTCCATGGCTGAGCAGCTGAACACAAGCTTAAGATCAAAATGCACAATGCCAAATGGGGGGTTGGTCGGGGGGCTGCATTGTGCCAACTGTAAAGTCTGGTAGAGGAGGGATGATGCTATGGGGTTGTTTTCAGAGGTTGATCTGAGGCCCCTTAGTTCCAGTCAAGGGAAATCTTAATTCTTCAGCAGATCAAGACATTTTGGACAATTGTACGCTGCCAACTTTGTGGGAACAGTTTGGGGAAGAACCTTTTCTGTTCCAGCATGACTGAGCCCCAGTGCAAAAAGCAGCTCCATAAAGGCCTGGCTGGGTGAGTTTGGTGTGGAAGAACTTGACTGGCCCTCACAGAGCCCTGACCTCAACCCCATCGAACACCTTTGGGATGAACTAGAGCGGAGACTGTGAGCCAGACCCTCTCGTTCAACATCAGTGTCTGACCTCCCAAATGCTCTTCTGGATGAATGGGCAGAAAATCCCACAGACACTCTCCGAAATCTTGTAGAAAGCTTCCCAGAAGCTGTTAGAGCTGCAAAGGGAGACCAACTCCATATTAATGCCTATGGATTTAGAATGGGATTCATAAAAGCTCCTGTAGGTATAATGTGTAGGTGTCCCAATACTTTTGTTCATAATATATGAACTTTGAATAAAATTGTCATTAAAATACAAAAAATTAAAATGAGATTTTTAAGATATTTTAGGATATGAGGTTTTTGTCATGACAGCAACGACCCAGTCACTCCACTGTCTTCTGTTATTATTGTGATAATGTACACTGGCTGGTACAGTGGTGTAAAGACCAGTGTTGACTGATCTCGGAGGGTTCATTTTTTTTTGTCTGGCCTGTGTTTTTAAAGAATATGTTTGTATTTTCTCTCTGGTTTGTGCAGTGAAACTGATGCTGATGATTCGAAAGTGTCTGAACGCCTGCATTCAGAGAACTGGAGACACGGCTGACGAATCCATCACCAGCAATAAGGAAAACACATCTGTGAGTTGAAGAAACACATGCATACAATTATTCATCTAAGTCTAAAAACGGATGCATACGAGGGGAGTAACAAGTCAACGTGTGATATTGGTTCCTACAAGTCAGGTCCGATGACACAGTCTGATTGGTTCATATGTTTCATGCTTCACTCTGTAGTTAACCATTACTGCATTTCTACATCAGCGCATACAAAAACAGAAAATGGATACATCAGATAACGTCTATAAGATGATATTTAACCTGCAGTCCTTTTCAGTCAGCAGCTGTGAAGAACTCAACAAACTGGAATCAGCCAGAAACAAACAGGATACAATTCGGGAGACGAGATGGGCTGTGAAATGTTTTCGAGACTGACTGGAACAAAATCAGTCAGATTCATCTGGAAAACTTTTAAAAGCTGAGCTGAACCTGATATTGAGACAGTTTTATGGCTCTGCCTGTAACACAGAAGGGCACTACGTTTTGTGGCAGAAAGCACATTTAATACAGTGTTTGTTGCTTCTGTGCTTGACTTTTTCTTTATTTTGCCGGACTGATGTTTTAAAGCAATAAGCCACAAGTCCTAAAAGTCCCTTCCTCTGTGATGAAACTGTAGAAATGTAGTTCCTTTAGAGTAAGATGTTGTTGCCAAGCAACCATGGACCGCTGAATGAGGAGAAGAGCCTTTGGTCACCTATCGCTGTCTATTGCAGTCATTTCATGAACTTTTTAACCTTTTTGTCTCATAACAATGAACATATGATAACACACCACTGTTTAATGTGAAAACCTTAGAAATCCTAAGAAAGTTTTCTAAGCACTTTTTGGTCACCAGATTTCCACTGTGAGTCTTATGTAGCACCAATCCAGGGGTGCCCCTCTTCTCATGCTGGGGCTGAATCTCAAATGGCTCCCTGCTCCCTACATAGTGCACCATGTAGGAATCTAAATACTGGATTCTGCACCCCAACAGTGCACAGTATAGCTAAGAAATGGTCATTGGTGATTCAGACACATCCACACTCGATAAGTGATGCACTGTTTGGCTGTAGAGGCTGGAATTTCTAAACTTTCACAACTAGTACACTATTTAGGGAGTACGGAGCCGTTTGGGATTCAGCCTGGGTTTGATGTGACTTCTGACTGAAACACAGACATTTGAAGTGTGTAAAACATTCAAGTGACATTTCTTAGACTTTTATGCTGCTGTTTTACAGTTAATCATACTGTAAGTACTTTAATTCAAGCCAGTGATATTAATGATGGAGTTGTTTTGGCTGTTAAGCCTGTTAGCTAGCTGACCAGCCTAGTTCTAGTTAAGAACATAAGTTGTCAGCCCCTCAGTCCTTACTTTATCAGTACACTCGGAGGTCCATGCGAGCAGCATTAGAGTCAAAGATTATTCCATTAACAGCACAAGGATTTTGGATGCTGTGGCACAGTAATAAACAATTCACTTATTGTGAGGCTGTTATAGGTGTGTGTATATTGTGTATTTTACCACGGCTTCAAACGCAGCTCAGCAAACCAGATTTTAGGACTGGAACTATCCGTTTTATAAAAAAGCAGTAGGACACTGAAAGTTGTATGCCATCATGAATAACCTCACAGCTGTTATCATCTGTGATCATCTACTGCACTCACTTTTGGCTTGTGCCTTTAGCTGAATCATAGCCATGATATTAATCACAGTAATGTGCAGCCTCTCATATTTTATTGCTCTGTACATTAGCTTTGGTTCTAATATGTTATTTTGTGACTGCTGAGTTTGATTAGGGCACTCGGGATGTATTTAGTGTTAAGAAACTTGGAAACCAGTCTATTTAACTGCCATTCTGAAGTGTCAGATATTGTACTTTTACTAACATTAACACTTTAACCTGAGGCACATTTTCAGGCATTCCTGTTTTTTTTTTTTTTTTTTTAATACTGTATTGAAAGATGTGCTGAGAAACATTGTTTTGATCTTAATAATGAGTTTTTCACACTCCTCATTCTCCAGGGTATATTTTGGTTTGTCCATCTGAATTTACATGACCAAATCGTAAGGCAAATTATTCAGTAACTGCATGAAATAATTGTACATTTTTTATTTATTTATTTATTTTTCAAATTAACAGAACATGTGTTTTATGATCACACATAATGCTATATGCTTATTTACTGCGGAAAGCCAAAAATCTTAGACGCTCTTTGTATTATTTTATAAAAATAATTGTTACAGATCAGATCACTGAAGAGACGCCATCTGTTTGTAGTTTATAGCCCAGATTTGTGGAAAAATGGGTCGACTTTCAGTAGAAAAAAAAATTGTGAGTTCAGCTTCTTTTATTATAAGGGTTTAAAATTATATTACCCATCTATTTGACTGGAAAGAAGACAGTTACAGCTCTCATACGACCCCCACCTTTAGAATGAAGCTTATAAAACAGTAAAGTTGTGAAGAACATGACGGAGTGCGTTTTGGACCCACCGGTGGTCTCAAGGAGTTGAAGTTAATACCCCAGTTGTTTATCTAAGTCCGGTGAGCTGCAGTCACACTGGAAGGTGACTGAACAACTTAGAACTTTCCTCGTTCTCTCACACCAGATTCTGTTCGCCAGATCTTTATCACACCTTACTGGACTTAAATTAGACGCTAGAGCTGGAAAAATCACTAAACTGTTCACACACGTACACAGAGATCTGACTGGCCAGGATTCAAATTAAAGAAGCCTTATCGAAGTAGAGAAGCTAAATTGCATCAGTTATTAAATCTGAAGCTAAAATTGGATAATACTTCAAAAATAATTTTCACTGGGCTGAAGTGTTGACAGCATTAAGATGCTGTGTGGCTCCTCCGTTAGGCTCCCTCATATAATGAATGTTTTCATATCTGTCCCCAGTGTAGCCTTTTAACAAATGTTGCTGTGGAAGATGTTTATATTTTTAAATGAGAACAAATGGTCTGTGTGGTTGTTGTGTATAGGAATAGGAACTTAATGACCTGAATTCTGCTTTTGATATGTACCGTTCAGCGAGACATGATGTAAAACAGACTAACCAGAGTTTCACCAAGTTAGCCCAAAGCAAAGAAATGGTCATTCAGTTCATTTCAAATTGACTCAAGTCAGTACTTTTGTCCATACCCACACAGAGGTTAGGAATTTGACAAGGTGTGCTCATTACAGTAACATCAAGCATAACATTCTGACCACCTCCTTGTTTCTACGCTCATTGTCCATTTTATCAGCTCCACTTACTATATAGGTGCACTTTGTAGTTCTACAGTTACAGACTGTAGTCCATCTGTTTCTCTGCATGCTTTGTTAGCCCCCTTTTACCCTGTTCTTCAGTGGTCAGGACCCCCATGGACCCTCACAGAGCAGGTACTATTTGGGTGGTGGATCATTCTCAGCACTGCAGTAACACTGACGTGGTGGTGGTGTGTTAGCGTGTGTTGTGCTGGTATGAGTGGATCAGACACAGCAGTGCTGCTGGAGGTTTTAAACACCTCAGTGTCACTGCTGGACTGAGAATAGTCCACCAACCAAAAATATCCAGCCAACAGCGTCCTGTGGGCAGCGTCCTGTGACCACCGATGAAGGACTAGAGGATGACCAACACAAACTGTGCAGCAGCAGATGAGCTATCGTCTCTGACTTTACATCTGCAAGGTGGACTGACAAGGTAGGAGTGTCTAATAGAGTGGACAGTGAGTGGACACAGTGTTTAAAAACTCCAGCAGCACTGCTGTGTCTGATCCACTCAGACCAGCACAACACACACTAACACACCACCACCACGTCAGTGTTACTGCAGTGCTGAGAATGATCCACCACCCAAATAGTACCTGCTCTGTGAGGGTCCATGGGGGTCCTGACCACTGAAGAACAGGGTAAAAGGGGGCTAACAAAGTATCAGAGAAACAGATGGACTACAGTCTGTAACTGTAGAACTACAAAGTGCACCTATATAGTAAGTGGAGCTGATAAAATGGACAATGAGCGCAGAAACAAGGAGGTGGTCATAATGTTATGCCTGATCGGTGTATAAACAAAATCAAAAAACAAACAAATACAATTTAAAAATATGAAAGTCAAAGTAATACTATAAACTAGTGTTGCTTATACTGTAGTGGTGATACTGTATCGGTATCGGCGCCGATACTGGCACTTAAATGCAGTATCGTATCGGTGATGGGGATACCGATACATATGACACCACGAAGCAATTTCTGATGCATGTATGCGGGTCAGTAGACAGAACTTAACATGTCAGCGCTGTGGGACGACAAGCAGCAGTAAAAATGCTCATGGCAGAATCTGTAACTGCAGTTTTTGGTGGTACGAACACGGTGACAGAGCCGCTTACCTGAACGGCTGAGCTGCTTCTTTCAGTAATCGCTCATCTGCCACTGTGTGGTCACTCACAGTCTGAGTTTATGTTTTTGAGAGAGCAGAAAGAACCACCGGACTCTCAATGTATTAATAGCCTTTAACCTTCACCCTTGATTTAGCCTTTGGCATAGCAGCCCGCTAGCCAGGCCTGTGCGTCCACTAGCCCCACCTGCGGTGCGCCTCTGTCAGTCAGCTGTATCTCTCAGCAGCAGGGTCTCGCGGCCCGTCGCTTCAACCAAGCCAGAAAGACGCTGAAAGTTGCTGAAACTGACAGCGTGAACGAGAGTGATATTTACTGAACTGACGCTGAGAGATGCAGCACGATTAAACAAGACAAACATATGAGACAAATGACTTCAGAAATTTGGATGTGAAACATTTAAGAAAACAACTATTTTGCACAATAAAGATATTTTACGTTTACTTAAGTTGTTAAACATGGTTCCTATTACTAATTACATAACAGTAAATACTAAATATCTGCAGTAAATCAGCAACAGTAAATTTTCTTAAGCATCTAATAAAGTATAATCCAACAAGTAAACGCCATCTCGCCAAGCTGAGTGGGTTTTATGTGACGTAGAACACAGATTTTACCAAAATAAAATATTTTGAAAGTGTATAAATGTCAAGAGTTATAGGTGAGTTAGGGTAGATAGAGTTAGTACCGGTATCGGTACTGTGTATTGGCTGAAAGTTAAGGATCAGCTATCGGTATTGGAAGGGAAAAAGTGGTATTGATGCATCTCTACTATAAACATATTGCTGTAGGAATAGAAAGCTATTAAGTATTCAAACAGTACTACAAATGTACAGTTCAGATTGTATACAGATGATTCTTTGAGGCTCTTTAAGTTGCACAACTGTGGATTTACCATACCGTGTGGTTATAGAGAATGTGAGCACGCTGTCTATCACAGCTTTATAGAACTGCGGCATCCCCTTACTGCAGACCCCAAACTATGTGTGTTTTCATATATTTTTGTAGCGTTGAGGTGTTAAATGGTTTTAAAGTATTAAATACATCACCCCCTTTGTGTATATGACTGTGGTATAATTATATATTTAGATGCGCACCCAAACGCAGCAGTGTTAAGAATCTGCCTGCAGCAGCCCAGCTGTAATTGGTGTGTGTGTGTGTGTGTGTGTGTGTGTGTGTGTGTGTGTGTGTGTGGTTTTGGTAGGTTTTGGAGGACGTTCTCTCTGTGAAGGACACGTCTGTCATGGCCAGTATGCTGGAGATTGTGGTGATTCTTTGGAGGAGTGTGCAGAAATCTCTAGAGCACAACAAAGAGGCCCTTCAGTACACCACTGCCAAATTCGCCTCAGTCCTGCCAGAGTACCTCAGAGTCTTCCAGGTGAGTCTGCTGTTTCACGTGAGACAGACTGGCTGAAAAACCTTTTTGCCTCGGTTCGTTTTTACTGAGATGATGTAATGTTGGTGCAATTTACTGTGTGTGTGTGTGTGTGTGTGTGTGTGTGTGTGTGTGTGTGTGTGTGTGTGTCTGTTACAGGAAGAGCGCTGTACAGCTCCACTCATCCGCTTGGCGTCATTACTGCCTGCTGCTTCTGTTCCTGCACTCAGGTCTGTCTGCCACGCTGACCAGAATACACAGAATACCCAGCACTTACACTGCAACCCTAAACTTATACAACATCCTACACTAACAACCAACCACTAACCACACCCATACTACACCGTACACTAACAACCAGCCACTAACAACACCTATACTACACCCTACACTAACAACCAGCCACTAACAACACCCATACTACACCCTACACTAACAACCGACCACTAACAACACCTATACTACACCCTACACTAACAACCAGCCACTAACAACACCCATACTACACCCTACACTAACAACCGACCACTAACAACACCTATACTACACCCTACACTAACAACCAGCCACTAACAACACCTATACTACACCCTACACTAACAACCAGCCACTAACAACACCTATACTACACCCTACACTAACAACCAGCCACTAACAACACCCATACTACACCCTACACTAACAACCGACCACTAACAACACCTATACTACACCCTACACTAACAACCAGCCACTAACAACACCCATACTACACCCTACACTAACAACCGACCACTAACAACACCCATACTACACCCTACACTAACAACCAGCCACTAACAACACCTATACTACACCCTACACTAACAACCAGCCACTAACAACACCTATACTACACCCTACACTAACAACCAGCCACTAACAACACCCATACTACACCCTACACTAACAACCAGCCACTAACAACACCTATACTACACCCTACACTAACAACCGACCACTAACAACACCTATACTACACCCTACACTAACATCCAGCCACTAACAACACCTATACTACACCCTACACTAACAACCAGCCACTAACAACACCCATACTACACCCTACACTAACAACCAGCCACTAACAACACCCATACTACACCCTACACTAACAACCAGCCACTAACAACACCTATACTACACCCTACACTAACAACCAGCCACTAACAACACCTATACTACACCCTACACTAACAACCAGCCACTAACAACACCCATACTACACCCTACACTAACAACCAGCCACTAACAACACCTATACTACACCCTACACTAACAACCAGCCACTAACAACACCTATACTACACCCTACACTAACAACCGACCACTAACAACACCTATGTTACATCCTACACTAACAAGCAACAGCTATACTACACCCTACACTAACAACCAACCACTAACAACACCCATACTACACCCTACACTAACAACAACACCTGTACTACACCCTACACTAACAGCCAACACCTATACTACATCTTACACTAACAAGCAACAGCTATACTACACCCTACACTAACAACCAACCACTAACAACACCTATATTACATCCTACACTAACAACCAACCACTAACAACACCTATACTACACCCTACACTAACAACCAACACCTATACTACACCCTACACTAACAACAAACCGCTAACACCTATACTACACCCTACACTAACAACAAACCGCTAACACCTATACTACATCTTACACTAACAAGCAACACCTATACTACACCCTACACTAACAACAAACCGCTAACACCTATACTACACCCTACACTAACAACAAACCGCTAACACCTATACTACACCCTACACTACCAACAAACCGCTAACACCTATACTACACCCTACACTAACAACAAACCGCTAACACCTATACTACACCCTACACTAACAACCAACCACTAACAACACCTATACTACACCCTACACTAACAACAAACCGCTAACACCTATACTACATCTTACACTAACAAGCAACACCTGTACTACACCCTACACTAACAGCCAACACCTATACTACATCTTACACTAACAACCAACACCTATACTACACCCTCTTGATTAAAGGAAAACAGATTTAGATTTGTTAAACACTATATATAGAGTTTTTTAAATCATTTTTATTAGCAGGAAAGTTCATTAAAACAGTAAATAATTGAATGTTATTGATCTGTACTGTCTTCATTGTTAGTTAACAAATGCATAAAACGACCTCCAGCTAAATTTAAAAGCTAATAGCTACATAAAAGTTATCTGGTAATGTAGTGATTCGTAATCCGAATAATCAATTATCCGTTTCAGTAATTGATAGATTATTCGACTATCAAATTAGTCGTTTGTTGCAGCCCTGCTCTACACTAACAACCAGCTTTGCTTTTATTTATTGGTTACAGATTTTTATTATTAAAAATACTTTTTCCGAGCTTTTGAACAGTATGGTATGTGTGCTTGTGTGTGCAGGAGTAAAGTAATGGCTCAGTTGAGGCGTCTGAACGCTGGTTCTGCCGTGACTCTGTACAGTCAGCCGATAGAGTGTGTGTGTAGCTGGGGTCAGGTGAGCCACATTCTGGAGCTCGTGGTGGAGTGGCTGACTGAGGCAGCACCTCTAAACCCGGTAAGTCTTCTGCACCATCAGATTTGAGAGTGCGTCTCATAGCTGGTTTTCGGCATAACTACTACGCCAGCAGGTAAGCTTTAGAGGGGATGCATGTAGATTCTGTTTAAATCACTTTATTTTAACATTGCTCATACCCGTTATACTGCAGGTTAGAGTTTGCTTAACCCTTAGTAGTGGGGCTGCACCGATACCAGTACTGTATCTGTATTGGCGATTATAGAGGCACTTAAATGCAGTATTGTTTTAGCAATAGAGAATACCGATACCATGAAGCCATTTCTGAAGTGCGCATATGCCATAGATGGAACTTGGCTAAAGTGAGCAACATGTCGTTGGGGTGTGTTGACAAGCAGCAGTAAAAATGCCATCATTTCAAGGAGAAACAAGGGTAGTGGGTGAAATGGCAGTTTGAATTCCTCCTATTAGATTTACCGGTGTACCACATATAAACCAAATAACACAGTGTTCAAACAGTGCAAACACACTAATGGAAGTCCTTAGCACGATATAAGGTATTAAGTATTAGATAACAAGCTGAGTGGTCTTTAGCTCGGAGGACACAGTGTCCATGATTTCCAAAAAGAATTTTCAGATGTTGATTCGTAGGACCACAGGACACTTTTCCACTTCGCCTCAGTCCATTTTAAATGAGCTCAGGCCCAGAGAAGGTGGCAGCATTTCTGGATCCTATTTATATGTGGTTTGTTCTTTGCGTTTTAGAGTTTTAATTAGCATTTTGGATGCAGAGGCAAACTGTTTTCACAGACAGTCATTTTTCAGAAGTGTTTCTGAGCCCATGCAGTGATTTCCACTACAGAATCATGTCTGTTTTTAATGCAGTGCTGCCTGACAGCCCAAAGATCACGGCCTGCAAATACTGGTTTTCAGCCTTGTCCCTTACATACAGAGATTTCTCCAGATGCTCTGAATCTTTTAATGATATTACGTAATGTAGATGATGAAAAGCAAAAGTTCTTTGCTATTTTATGTGGAGAAACATTGTTCTTGAATTGTTGCACTATTTGATTGGTCAGTCTTTCACAGAGTGGTGAACCCCTCCTCATCTTTACTCCTGAAAGACTCCGCCTCTCTGGGATGCTTTTTATACCCAGTCATGTTACTGACCTGTTGCCAATCAACCACCAGGTGTTTTTTTTAGCATTACACAACTTTACCAGCCTTTTGTTGCCCCCGTCCCAACTTTTTTGGAACATGTTGTTGGCATCAAATTCAAAATGGGCATATATTTTTCAAAAAAACAATAAAATTTCTCAGTTTCAGCATTTGATTTGTTGTCTTTGTACCATTGTCAATTGCATATAGGGTTTAAACAATTTGCACATTGTTGCATTTTGTTTTTATTTACATTTTGTACAGAGTCTCAACTTTTTTGGAAATGGGGTTGTAAAATAGCTCCTCACTAAACACTAAAGTGATATAGATGGAAAGTATCTACACTTTCCACACAAAATCAGTCCTTGTGTCAGTGATCTGCATGTGACAATTATTCATATAAAATCTTGCTTTTGTTCATGCTGACGATAACTGCAATTTCTAAGGGTTAACGCTGTTCCACAGAAAAAACCTTAACATGTTGTTAATTGTGTTATAATAGGCTTCCCGGTTCACATTTACCTATTCTTTTTTTATTAATTTTAAGGTTAAAATCACACTTTTATTGGTTCTATGTGGAACATTTTTCATTGTGAAAGTCCTGGGCTTTTTTTAAAGTACACTGTTTTTTGGCAGTATAATGATCTCTCTCTCTCTCTGCCGATTACAGGGTGAACAAAGTGAGTCTGATTCTCGAAGGGTCCAGTTTGATGAACCCTCAGAGGCTAAGCCTGATCTGGCTCTGGATTACCTGGAGTATCTGCTGACGAGGCCGCGGACGCGAGACTGCCTGCTGGGCTTGTCGCTGGATCAGCTCACTTCACTGCACAGTGCACTGAGTGCATGGAAGGTACCTGATTCAGGATCAGCTCCTTGAAACGTCCTAACCTGTATCTGCTGTTAGTGATGTCCTCATCTAGCTTTTTACCCACCCAGTCTGAATCAGCATTGGCACTGAGCATCGGCAGATACTAATCCAATATTTATATTTTCCTAGAATTTAGGTAAGTTATTCTAAAGCTGTTTATTAATGACAGTAAAATTACTTTTTTCATATGTGTCTTAATTACTAGTGTTTTCTATTACTTGCTGTACTACACACTTAAAAAGGGTGATGCTTCAGGGGTTCTTTAGTAAAGACAGTGGTTCTATATAGAACTATGAACACTCAAAGAACCATTTGCATGATTAAAGGGTTCTTTGCATCACGCAAAGGTTCTTCAGGTTGATGGAGAATGTGCTGTACATGGTTCTATATAGCTCCAAAAAGAATTCTTTTATCGTTACGAGCTCATTGTCTTACCAAAATTCCTTGAAGAATCTTTTTATATATATAATATATAAAGGATATAAAATTATATATATGTATATAATATACATCATAATCTCTGTTTTATTATTTTTTGTGACTCTTTTCATATATAGTTAAGTATATATAAAGTGATGTTTATATGTTGTTGTGATAGTAGACAAATACAATGCTGTGAAGGCTGTGTCCATAGAAAACAAAGAGTGGCACTGATAACAGACGTGAGATGCTTTTATGTATCTTTTTTAAGTCTTTCTTTAAAACTCAGTTGAATTACAGTTGATTGTTTTGAGCATATTCTGCACATTTTTTAAATGTGACTTTTTGACTGAATCCTTTGTGTGTTTCTGTCTGTCCAGGCGGTGCTGTACTCTTCACTGAGTGAGTGTGTAGCCAGTGCGGCGGTGACCGAGACGGCACTCAGAGCTTTCAGCTTACACGCCCGCCTCACCATCCATCTGCAACACAGAGTGAGTCTGATAACACTCACACTCTTACAAACACACGTTCACTCTCCATCTCTAATGCACGTTTTCACATCTGTGCTAGAGAACTGCACTCCTGCGGATTCCCGCTGGACCCACCACTATATCTTGCAGCGCAGGACTAATTTTGAGTGTTGTGGGAGCGGGCGGAATTTACTTCCCTTCAGGCGGAAGCGGGCGGAAGCACGCATATAGAGAAATCCCGCAAATTAACGAATAGCTGCATGAAGTAGAGCGATCACTAAATCATGTATAAACAATGTAACAGTAAAACAGTTCAAATGAGAAGTCATTCTCGAGCAACCGTTCACGTGAACAACATGCAAATTCTCATAGGTCTAATTCACACATGCTGCATCTGTGTGGCATGAGGGATGCGGAAAGTCTTGCTTTTCATTTCGGTGCCGTGTTAAGTGGTCAGCGCTTTCACACAGGCTGCGGTGCGAAGCAGCAGAGTCCCAGACACCGCACTGGAGCGGCGCAGTGTTTAGAGAATAGACCTGGGGCAGATTTTTTCTGTGTGTCGTGCGTCATGCAGCTAAATACACAGACAAATTAAACAAAAGACCGTATAAAAACTTAGAGACGATTTCTGTGTAATTCATGACGAAATACTAGTTAAACATTCTGTGCTGCAGACAGAATCCCTGGTTGGTCCACCAGGCTTAAAACTTTTTTGATAATCAGAAGTCAGAACGCTGTCCAGGATAAACAAATATACCATGTACTTTTATAAATGCTCTTTTTATTGATCAGAGTGACTGAAGTGACCATGCATCCATCTGGAAACAGGAATGTCTATGTAACTTTCTCGCTGCTTCGCAGCATAAACACTGTATGTATGAAAGGCCAGCGCGTCTGAGCTGTAGCACTCGCTGTGCCGCATCACTCACACCAAGCAGAGGCAGCATGTGTGAATCAGGCGTTAGAGAGATGGCGGAGCCTTTAGTCCAACGGCCACAACTGCCCAGCAAAACACCAAAAATAACCGCTCTGTGGTTTAATTCCTGCTTTGTGTTTGCTGGGAATAAATAGCGTTTGGTGAAGTTACTCACAGTGAGCCTGATGACCATGACTGCCGTGTTATTTCAGCAGAGGATATTGTGTTTGTGAATTCACTGTGTCAGATATTGGACGTGCGGGACTGCATGGGCGGGAGCGGGCCAAATTGTTTCGGTTGCAGGCAGGAACAAGAGAAATGATACCGATTTTCTGCAGGAGCGGGATATAATCTCACGGGAGCAGGCGGGAGCGGGACTGAAAAAACAATCCCGTGCAGACCTCTAATCTGTGCGGTCCTAACTGTCTGTTCTGAACATGTATTTGCATCAGAAATGCTGTGCTGGCTTCATCAAACAGAAGGCCGTTATATTTATCACCTCGTGAGACTGTCCTCTAGTGACTGTTGCTATATGTGGGCGATATGGCAAAAATGTATATCCTGATACTTGAAGACATTTTCATTATACGTGATAATGCAGTGACAGCTGGTCATGATATTGGATGGGAGGTAAGATTCAAATGTCCGTAATATAAACTCCAAATGTCCATATACTGCTGTGGTAGCACCCATTAACATGGTGCGATTCATGGCACTAATAGAAATTAACATTTTTGCAGTACGAAGGTCAGATAAATACAGGCTTCTTATGAAGCAAATTAAAACATTTCTGCATTGCCAATGCCTTAACATGCTCACAGTTTGACTATGTCCGACTCTCAGTCCACACAACATTATTTTACAACGACTTCAGATTTCAGAACAGGACCTGCCCAAACCAACTAGACTGACTGCAGAGAGCTGGAGGGCAGAGCTAGTTGTCATCGGCCTAAAAAGTAGCCCTAATAACGACTGTAGGAGGAATTTCACTCTGATTAATATCACATTGTACTTCACGGATAGACTGAGTGAACCTGCAGCTTGAGCTGGATGTAAATATGCCCCGTTTTAGCAAATTCTTATCTTTCTTACAGCCTTTTGGTGGTGTTATTCTTGGGTCCGCAGAGAGTTTAAACGGTCAGCTTCTGGTCAGCTATCAAGTGCAAGGCCCAATCCCGTTTCACCCCTCACCCTTACCGCTTAGCCCTATCCCTCTGTTTTGCACGTTCGAGGGGTAGGGTGTCCCAATTTTTGTTGAGATGGAGCAGTAGGGCGAAGTGTTAGGGCCACATGACCCTCCACACGTTTTTCAGAGGCTCTCTCCAAATGGAGTGATATGAGGGGGAAAAAAAGAAAAAGATGGCTGAGCAAAGGACGAAAGAAACCAAAAATGTGAGAATTTTCTATGTAAAGTTTACGATAATTATTGTATTATCTTAGTTTAATGTCGTTTCAATGTATCATGATCCTTTTTATCAAAACAAGCATAAAAAATTGCTAATAGTGTGCTGACGTCTCGGTAGCTAGCTTAGCTAATTTTTCTGTTACACCTTAAACGGTGCACCAGTTCTGACGCCTGAGGCACCAGAATGTAACTGCTGCTCCATTTAAGGTGGGACGGGAAAATTTGAACAAGAAGCTGGTGAATATCTGACTTCAGCTTCATATCACTGAAGAATTAGGGGTGGGCGATAATAAATAATTGCCCCCCTCTTTGAATCATATGATGCCTTAAATGTAACTAAAGCCCAGCAGTGAGGAGCTGAACTTTACCCTCCTCTGCTGTCACTGCAGACTGGCAGGGTCGCCCTACAGAGCAGCGCTAGTAGCTGTTAATAATGCTCTTTTTAATAATTTGAAGGGCCCCATTTCATAGAGGAAGATTTCAACCACTGCCTCTTGTAACTCAGTTCCAAGGGGCAAGCTGACACTCGAAAACAAGGGGCAGGGGTAACAGTAAGAAATGGGATTGGGCCCAAGTGAAACAGTGTGGAGACCAGAAGTGAAAACTTATTTTAATTAATTTTTTATCTGAAAGAGGGAGGCTTAGCCCTACTAGCCCATTAATACCAGCCGCCCCTGCTAATAGGAATCACAATATTTAGTTTTCCTGAGATTTGATTAATTAGAGCAGATAAAATGCACCAGGATTGCAATATTTAAAAAAACACTCTCAGAAGCTGAGCACAGTGATTCACACCCTGAGCTGTGCCAAATCCAATTAAACAGGACCAATTATGCTCTCCTTGTAATGAAATATGCGGTTGGTCAGTGTTCATTAAGGACTGATGATACATGATTATAAAAGCATGTTGTAGCATAATTTATCACAAAAGTGCTAAATTATCAGTTGCAAGCCAGTATTTTTTTTTCTAAACGTTCAATCTCCCATGTTTTAAATGCTTATCAGGTAACCTGAATATAACCTAAATTTGACCGTTATTGTGATGCAGCACATCACAATATGCTTTACAGAGCACAACTGGGATTTTTTCTGATTCTGCTTATGAATTTTAAGGGTTGTGATTTTGTCCATTGAAAGTGTTTTCATCTGTGTTTTTATAGTGCTTTGAGGGATTAGAGGGCCAATATCATGAAAAACTGAATCGAGTTTTTGTTGTTTGTTTGTTTGTTTGTTTGTTTTTTTGTTTGTTTTTGTTTTTTTGAAGTAAGAGTTAAATGTAGTATGTAAACATTGTTAAGGTGCGGTCAACACTCCAGTCCATATATGGGGGGAAAAAAGCTGCAAAAAAATCAATCCATTTGAACATTTTTTTTTTTTTTTGTGATGTCACCAAAACCAACATATTTACATATGTCAACCTCTTTAGGCTGCAGCAGTTTAGCTCCACCTGTACACGCCTTCAGTTTTTCAGCCAGGACTGCTTTACAGGGCAGCCAATCAGAGCCAAGCTCATTTACATATATCAATCTAAAAGGCACAGTAACAAAAACAGCCTGTTTAATTCTAAGGGATAAAGGAGGTTGTAAAAAATTAATTATGACTGATTTTGGGACACAAAACCACACAAACCTTATAAAAAATATTAGAAAAACAGCAGTTATGGGCCCTTTAAGACTTTTTTTTAGCATTAAAAACATAAAATAAAATCACAAAATTTTGACCTGAGAATCTGGAAATGTGTGTATTGTTATACCCAGTGCTATTTAAAAAAAACAGTCACCAAATTTAGACTGTGACATCGCTTCCTGTCCATTAGTACCCAGACAGGCGGGACTTCCTGGGCTCTTTGGAGCACTGCATGGACTGGGTGGAGAAGAGGGTCCTCCCCTTCCTGGCTGCCCCTGGTGACGACATCTCTGAGCAGCAGCTGACTCTGGGCAAGCAGATTGTAGAGGTGAGTGAAGGAGCCAAATTCACCATCGGTGCCCAGCAGGGCTCCACGACATATCGCTGGTTTATCGTTATTGCAATATTGCCCTTTTCCATACTGATATCTCAGAAGATATGCAAATTAGAGATATATGCATTCTGACTCATTTTAATATTTGAGTATCTTCTTGAATGGATATTAAGTTGACCAAGGGAAGCAGAAAAATGGGCACAAACACTGTAAACTGACGACCTGGTGCCAAACAGTTTGGAAGTAGGAACAGAAATTTAGGAGCTCACAGAGATCTGATTTATTTTTAAAAAATCGTGGGAACAAAGGAAATGATTGGTCACTGCTCTGCAGTCATAGGGACTGCCCTTCCAGGTGAGGAGTCTGTTTGTCCATTTTCTGTCATGACTGTGGTTCATTGATCCAGATCAAGATCCATCTATTGATCTACGAAGGCGTGTCCTTCGAAGGCTGTGTAGACCCACGAAGGCTGAACCGAAATGAGACGGTCTGCCCTACAGCGGGTTTCCTGTTTGTGTCACAGCACCGTTCCTGCCCTTACTGTTTCACCACGAAACGCCGCTCCTGTCAAGTTCTTTTAAAGTTCTTTAAAGACGGAGCCAAAAACTTTGATTTTAGTTTTATTTTTTCATTTATTAGAGTTGGAGATGCTTCTCTCTGTTGGCTCTTTGCTCCCTTAAATGAAACTTTAGTGTAAGTTTTTCTTTTTAACTTTTTTAACATTTCTATCTTTAGCTATTCGACTCAGTTTAAACCCAATACTTACATTTAAAGTGTCTCCTCAGCCGCCATTTGCTCCTCTGCTGACGACGCCATGTTCTCGAATCCTCGCCGCCGCACAGTGAACCTCGGGATATGTTGGCTGGTGAAGGATCCACCCGTTGAATCCTTGGTTACCATGGTAAAGAAGGACACATTTCTCGGTCACGTATGAAGGAACCCTCGTAATGGGACAGCCTAGTCAAACCGCTGTGACGTAGTCGGCCTTCAAATGCAGCCTTTGAAGGATGCAGCCCCTGAATTGGGACACAGCATATAACTGTGCATGGTAGACACAGTCGAAGGCTTTGCTGTAGTCAGTGAAATGCATGTTGACTTCCTTCTTGACCTTGGCTTCTTCAGTGATACATCAGCACATACATATCTCGTGTTCTTCATCCTCTCCTGAATCCTGCTTGCATGTCTAGCAGTTCTCTTTCAGCATTAGGCTGTAGTCCATGTTGAATGATCTTGAGAGATTTTCACTGCCATGTCATTTAATCACAAAACGGTGTTTTGTCCATGTTGTGCATCCTAAGCCAGTCAGGAACAAAGCATCTTCTGTTTTTGATAATTTTTGTTATTAACTGTTCCTCATACAAATGATTTCACACATACACACCTTAATCTTAGCAGGAAGTGCCCACTCTGTCCTTTTAACTTATTTATCCACAAGAAATCTTCTCACAAGAACGAACGGATGTGATTTTTCCTTTTTTCCTGCTATTTTTAAATAGCGACACCCACATCCCTCTGTCTATGTGTTAGACTCGTGGGCGGTTAGGCTACTTCAGTTTCGTCTTCCTGTGTTAGATGATGAGAAAATACGCTTAAAAGAAGAAAAGGCAACTTTCCTCAATGTAATTAGCAGCAAAACAAGAACGAGATGCTGGGGTGGTTAGAATTTACTGGTGTTGTCATTATTTAAAATGATGTGGAAATCACATTAAATGTTAGTAAGATCCATCACATGTTCATAATATAGTCAAGTCAAAGTGAACTTCGTCATTCATACCATACAAAAAGAACTGCACAGCTGAACGAGATTGCGTTTCTCCAACTCCCATGTGCAAATATAACATAATTACACCCATCAGGCATAACATTCTGACCACCTCCTTGTTTCTACACTCATTGTCCATTTTATCAGCTCCACTTACTATATAGGTGCACTTTGTAGTTCTACAGTTACAGACTGTAGTCCATCTGTTTCTCTGATACTTCGTTAGCCCCCTTTTACCCTGCCCTTCAGTGGTCAGGGCTCCCATGGACCCTCACAGAGCAGGTACTATTTGGGTGGTGGATCATTCTCAGCACTGCAGTAACACTGACGTGGTGGTGGTGTGTTAGTGTGTGTTGCGCTGGTACGAGTGGATCAGACACAGCAGTGCTGCTGGAGTTTTTAAACACCTCAGTGTCACTGCTGGACTGAGAATAGTCCACCACCCAAAAATATCCAGCCAACAGCGTCCTGTGGGCAGCGTCCTGTGACCACTGATGAAGGACTACAGGATGACCAACACAAACTGTGCAGCAGCAGATGAGCTATCGTCTCTGACTTTACATCTACAAGGTGGACTGACAAAGTAGGAGTGTCTAATAGAGTGGACAGTGAGTGGACAGTGTTTAAAAGCTCCAGCAGCACTGCTGTGTCTGATCCACTCAGACCAGCACAACACACACTAACACACCACCACCACGTCAGTGTTACTGCAGTGCTGAGAATGATCCACCACCCAAATAGTACCTGCTCTGTGAGGGTCCATGGGAGCCCTGACCACTGAAGGGCAGGGTAAAAGGGGGCTAACGAAGTATCAGAGAAACAGATGGACTACAGTCTGTAACTGTAGAACTACAAAGTGCACCTATATAGTAAGTGGAGCTGATAAAATGGACAATGAGCATAGAAACAAGGAGGTGGTCAGAATGTTATGCCTGATCGGTGTGTGTGTGTAAATATATGTGTGTATATATATATTTAAAAGATATTGCACGTTCTCAGTGATGGTATTATTGTACAGTGTAACAATGTGTCAGTTATGTAAAATCACAATTCAGAGATATTTTTGTTTTCCTTTTACTACGTTGATTGCTAGGGCAACAAACCATGGTTTCATGAAGCACATCTACAGACTTAGATCTTTGTTCTCGAGTATGTTAGTGTGTCATTCTATGAATGTTTACTGTATGTCCTTACCAGAGTGATTAAGAAAGCTCTTATTAATTCATTAATTAAGTTATTGAGAATCTGTGTTATTGTTTCTGTACATTTTGTTCAGAGCAACATGGCCAACAAAATGTTCACAAAAGCTACAAGGTTTACTTTTGTAAACCAGCACTTGGTCCTCCTTTAGATTATAAAAACAATTAATAATAAGGGTAATTAAAAATTTTTAGATATTCGGTTTGTGTGTGATGTTTGGGAGATAAATGGTAATGTAAACGTCTCTCTCTCTCTCTCTCTCCCTCCCTCTCTCTCCCTCCCTCTGTGGGACAGAGCTGTCTGACGTTGTGCAGGGATGCGGTGCGGGTTGCCCTGGGAGACGCCGATTTCAACGATCATGTCCTGCAGCTCGGCTCCTGTGTTCTGCTGTCTGGTGAGCTATCAGATAGGAGCAAAAAGCCCATACATATGCACTCAGGAACGTTATTAATTATTATTACTAAACTTTTTATCTGTCATTTGACCAAAAACAAAACCTTTATGTGCTCAGACATTAACTGTCCACAAACCTCCTCCATAATAAATTAGTATTAATGAAAGGCATTAATGAAAAGTCCTGTATTTAGTGTTAAGTGCTTTGCAGGTGTGCCATAGTACCAAAACGAAACAGCCAATGAAATAAGAGACCAGCCACAGATGAGTTAGGCTACTGCTGAGCTTTGTGTCAACCCTGTCCAGTAAATGCAGTCCTGTGTTCTTCTGCAAAAGTCACAGCAGTTGCCATGACAATGTGTCCAAATGTCTGACAGTATTTGAGCATGGCCAGCCGGTCACCGAGAGAGTGGACATGGTCACACACTGCTTGTGTGTGTTGGGTTTTTATTTTGAGGACACGAATGTTTCAACTTTGCAGTGAAACTGCGGGAAAAACTAACAAACGTAAAAGGACTAAACTACAGGAGCAACAAACTGGTCCTAGCTTTGTAAACAGGTTTTTACACAAACTGTGCTTCATTTTTAAAAACTGAAAGCACAAAACCATCATTTGTGTTAATGCGGTTAAGATTAGAGTTGATTTAGGATTAGCCTAAAGGAAGCCTTAGTCTAGTCTTGGATTATGCAGCATTCTGAATGGAGATCCTCCACTAAAAGGAAAATATAGTCCAAAACTAGGCTCAGACATTGTCTGGGAAACAGACACCAACATATGTAATACAAATGGGAAATACTGCATATAGATACTTAAATATTGTGGCTATCAGAACAAAACCCTGCATCTCCATTTTGGTCATATATATATATTTTATTTTTTATTTTTTGCAAAATTTGAAAATGCCAGTTATACTGTGTTAAAATTTAATGATGAATGCAGAAATGCTTCAAAATTACTTAGAAGAAAATAATAATTAAGTTTGTTTTTTTTCTTTCTCCTGTACAGTAACCATTTTGGAGATGGTTTGTTGTGACAGTGTTGATATAATATATATAGGGCACATTACTTATAGATACTCCCCTATATATAATACAATGTAATATAATTTTTATATTATTATTATTATTATTATCAGTAGTAGTAGTAGTAGAAAGTATGACGCATAGAAAGTCACATATGATACATTGGAGTAGGGCTGAAAGATTAATTGTTTTTTATATTTAAATTTATATTAATTTGGAACGCAGTTTTTCAAATCGCAAGAGCTGTGATTTTATTTCGAGTCTACATTATCAACAAAGTTGTCTAAACTGATTTCAACTAAGAAAATTTTATGTAATAACACAGAGCCAATAAAACAGGCCTGGACTTTTAACTTGTAGAAAATAATCTTGATTTACATCGCAGCCACAATATTGGTAAGAAAAAAAATCACAGTTAGGTATTTTATCCAAACCATTTTATCCAAAGCAAGATATGGGGCGTGACCCCATGTCCTGACATATTATAAACAAAACTGTGTGTTTGCTCCTCTAGAGAAGGGGTACACGTGTATCCCGCTGCTGTTGTCTGTGCTCTCTGAAGTGGCTCAGGACGGCTTTTCCTGCAACACTGAAGTCCAGGAGGAGCAGCTGTGTGTTACTCTTCGAATTGTAACCAACATTTTCCAGAAAGTTCTGGAGGTCATGGCACACCGACTTCGGAAGGACAAAGAAGAGGGTCAGGAGGTGGGACAAGCACTGAAATGCCACTCTAGACCCCAGTCTTATAGAGCCACTGTATGCAGTACATACTATATACAGTACGCAAAAGTTTGAACACCCCTGGTCAAATGACGTCTTATTGATTTTCTAAAAGGTAGGTTAACAAATCCTTTACAGAAACGCTTATATATGACATTTTTCTGTACACTTTGGGGCACAGTTTCATTTATTTGCTTTCATTGAGTTTAACAGATTGGAAAGAAGTAAAGGTGATGTACTTTTTTTACAAAATTTGAAAATGCCCGTGGCTGTTTACAATGATGAATGGACCAATAGAAAGGCTCTAAAATTACTTAAGAAAAAATAAAAAATCTTGTTCCATTAACCTCCATTCAAAGCTAATAACTTTTTTCCTTCTCCTGTAAAGTGACCACTTTGGAGGTCATTTCTTTTGGTCCATTTGTCATATAATTTACATACAATGTAAAGGAAAACAGGTATTTTCAACTTATATCAAAAACTGAAAAACGTTAAAAATACAAGGTTTTCTTCCGACAGCAGCGATATATAATTTATTATTATTATTTTTCCCCCAATGTATTAAAGTAAGCAAAGAAAGAGCAATTGTCTATTAAAATGTGTAGAAATGTAGAGGATGTTTTAACTTATTTTCAGTTTGAAAATCAACAAAACTTTTTTGGTAATTTGCCCAGGGGTGTCCAAACCTTTTGCATGTAACTGTAAATGTATAATTGCACACTGTAGTCCATCTGTTGCTGCGCAGTTTATCAGTCTCCCTCTACCACATAAATAGATATTAGCACCTTGAACTGTTTACTGAGTATTCAAGTACCCGAGCTCATCCCTAGCAGTACTTATCAGTGTCACTGAGTGTCACTGCGAGGTCGAGAGTGGACCACCACCCAAAAATATCCAGAGAAGAGTAGTTCTGTGGTCAGAAACTCACCACTGATGAAGGGCTAGAGGATGAGTAATACAAGCTGCATGAACAGGTGAGCTAGAGTCTCTAACTGCACACCTGCGCTATACAGTGCTTGTATTTTGTAGGTGTTTCTGATAAAATGGCCAGTAAATGTAGATACAAGGTAGGGTTTCTAATAAACTGGCAGCTCAGAGTTGTACATCACCCCACTCTGTATCCCACCTTCTATTTTATCACCCCACTCTGTATCCCACCTTCTATTCTATCACCCCACTCTGTATCCCACCTTCTATTCTATCACCCCACTCTGTATCCCACCTTCTATTCCATCACCCCACTCTGTATCCCACCTTCTATCACCCCACTCTGTATCCCACCTTCTATTCCATCACCCCACTCTGTATCCCACCTTCTATTCCGTCACCCCACTCTGTATCCCACCTTCTATTCCGTCACCCCACTCTGTATCCCACCTTCTATTCCATCACCCCACTCTGTATCCCACCTTCTATTCCATCACCCCACTCTGTATCCCACCTTCTATTCTATCACCCCACTCTGTATCCCACCTTCTATTCTATCACCCCACTCTGTATCCCACCTTCTATTCCGTCACCCCACTCTGTATCCCACCTTCTATTCCGTCACCCCACTCTGTATCCCACCTTCTATTCCGTCACCCCACTCTGTATCCCACCTTCTATTCCGTCACCCCACTCTGTATCCTACCTTCTATTCCGTCACCCCACTCTGTATCCCACCTTCTATTCTCACCCCACTCTGTATCCTACCTTCTATTCTATCACCCCATTCTGTATCCCACCTTCTATTCCGTCACCGCACTCTGTATCCCACCTTCTATTCTATCACCCCACTCTGTATCCCACCTTCTATTCCGTCACCCCACTCTGTATCCCACCTTCTATTCTCACCCCACTCTGTATCCCACCTTCTATTCTCACCCCACTCTGTATCCTACCTTCTATTCTATCACCGCACTCTGTATCCCACCTTCTATTCCGTCACCGCACTCTGTATCCCACCTTCTATTCTATCACCCCACTCTGTATCCCACCTTCTATTCTGTCACCCCACTCTGTATCCCACCTTCTATTCCATCACCCCACTCTGTATCCCACTCTGTATCCCACCTTCTATTCTATCACCGCACTCTGTATCCCACCTTCTATTCCGTCACCCCACTCTGTATCCCACCTTCTATTCTATCACCCCACTCTGTATCCCACCTTCTATTCTGTCACCCCACTCTGTATCCCACCTTCTATTCCATCACCCCACTCTGTATCCCACTCTGTATCCCACCTTCTATTCCATCACCCCACTCTGTATCCCACCTTCTATTCCATCACCCCACTCTGTATCCCACCTTCTATTCTCACCCCACTCTGTATCCCACCTTCTATTCTATCACCCCACTCTGTATCCCACCTTCTATTCTATCACCCCACTCTGTATCCCACCTTCTATTCCATCACCCCACTCTGTATCCCACCTTCTATTCCATCACCCCACTCTGTATCCCACCTTCTATTCTCACCCCACTCTGTATCCCACCTTCTATTCCGTCACCCCACTCTGTATCCCACCTTCTATTCCATCACCCCACTCTGTATCCCACCTTCTATTCTCACCCCACTCTGTATCCCACCTTCTATTCTATCACCCCACTCTGTATCCCACCTTCTATTCCATCACCCCACTCTGTATCCCACCTTCTATTCCATCACCCCACTCTGTATCCCACCTTCTATTCCATCACCCCACTCTGTATCCCACCTTCTATTCTATCACCCCACTCTGTATCCCACCTTCTATTCTCACCCCACTCTGTATCCCACCTTCTATTCCATCACCCCACTCTGTATCCCACCTTCTATTCCGTCACCCCACTCTGTATCCCACCTTCTATTCCATCACCCCGCTCTGTATCCCACCTTCTGTTCCATCACCCCACTCTGTATCCCACCTTCTATTCCATCACCCCACTCTGTATCCCACCTTCTATTCCATCACCCCACTCTGTATCCCACCTTCTATTCCATCACCCCACTCTGTATCCCACCTTCTATTCTAGTCACCCCACTCTGTATGTTGCACTGGTAGAACAGGCAGTGTTAATATTCCGTGTGTGTGTTTGTGTAGCTGTGCTGCTTGTCTGAAGATGCTCTACACGACTTCCTGCTGGTGACCCAGTTGGCGTCTGAAAGGTCAGAGGTCGTGTCTGGAGTCTTCTCGTCGCTGTGTGCCGCTGTCATCATTGACATCAGCCGGACGCTGCAGAAGGTTGGAGCACTTTTCCACAGTTACTCGTCAGTGTTGTTGAAATTTATGGATTGCGTTTAAAGCTCCAGTTCGAATCCTCTGAAGGGCTCATATCCTACATTTTTCCCTTCATTTTTCCCCTTGAGGTCCATTTATAACATTTAGTGCCGTTTTATGTTCCAAAAATGTTCACAATTCATTTTAACATGACCGTTTTCCAGCCTCTCTCAGTCTCTCCGAATTAAACAGTTCTGTTACTGTGCCCTTAAGACTGATATATGTAAATCAGCTCTGTTCTGGTTGGCTGCCCTGCATTGTGCCTTAGTAAGAAAGCAGTCCAGACTGAAACACGCGGATATGCGGATATATGTACCAGTAAATCATTTAGTTGGTTATTCTATTTAGTTATGTATTTATTAGGTTATATAAAACATTAATTATCCTCTGCTGAGGACACACTTCTGCACATTTTAATGCACACTTGCTGCTTATTTGCTCAATGTAACATATTTGGGGGGAAAAAAAACAATATCTGGCCTGGGCTAATATTGACTAAAATCAGTAGCCACTGAATTTATGCTAATTGGTAACTACTAGCTTTGAGTCACACTGCGGGTGCACTTTGTAGTTCTACAGTTACAGACTGTAGTCCATCTGTTTCTCTGCATACTTTGTTAGCCCCCTTTTACCCTGTCCTTCAGTGGTCAGGACCCCCATGGACCCTCACAGAGCAGGTACTATTTGGGTGGTGGATCATTCTCAGCACTGCAGTAACACTGACGTGGTGGTGGTGTGTTAGTGTGTGTTGTGCTGGTACGAGTGGATCAGACACAGCAGTGCTGCTGGAGTTTTTAAACACTGTGTCCACTCACTGTCCACTCTAATAGACACTCCTACTTTGTCGGTCCACCTTGTAGATGTAAAGTCAGAGACGATAGCTCATCTGCTGCTGCACAGTTTGTGTTTGTCATCCTCTAGTCCTTCATCAGTGGTCACAGGACGCTGCCCACAGGACGCTGCCCACAGGACGCTGCCCACAGGACGCTGTTGGCTGGATATGTTTGATTGGTGGACTATTCTCAGTCCAGCAGTGACACTGAGGTGTTTAAAAGCTCCAGCAGCACTGCTGTGTCTGATCCACTCAGACCAGCACAACACACACTAACACACCACCACCACGTCAGTGTTACTGCAGTGCTGAGAATGATCCACCACCCAAATAGTACCTGCTCTGTGAGGGTCCATGGGGGTCCTGACCACTGAAGAACAGGGTAAAAGGGGGCTAACAAAGTATCAGAGAAACAGATGGACTACAGTCTGTAACTGTAGAACTACAAAGTGCACCTATATAGTAAGTGGAGCTGATAAAATGGACAATGAGCGTAGAAACAAGGAGGTGGTCAGAGTGTTATGCCTGATCGGTATATATTGTGATGTATACTGATTAATTAGATTGGCGCTCATCAGTTTATATGTATTTAAGTCTTAGATTTAGTTGCCGTAAGCTAAAAACCAATAACAGTTGTTTTCTCAGTGTTATCTCCACAAATAAACGTGTTGGCATATCATCAGCTGAGGAGACCAAAGCTTTGTGTAGAAGCACACGAGTCACCAGTTAGCTCCAGTGTTAGCGTTAGCTCATTAGCTCTTTAGCTGATCTGAAGCAACCAGTTATTCGGTCTGACAGAAATCTTCAGGTTTACACAAAGAGTTCTCTTGAATTTTTCTGAATAATAAAACATTTTCAGATGGTGAACAAAATGTTCTAAAATAATAATGTGATTTTTTTTTTCCCTGTCTTTGATGTAGCTTGCTATGATCAGTGCACAAATTTACCTGTTCGTGTATTATAATTAACTATAATACATTTATCAGTAAAAGTGTTTGCTTCTTCGCCGATTAAATGAAATAACTGCTCTTAAACTCTGACAGATACTCAAATGTCAAAACCGGTCAAATCAGCACGTCCCTCATTTACATTTTTAGCAGATGTCCCAAATACATGACTAAACAAACTGAAGCAAGAAGCCATCATTGTTCAGAAGTCATGCTGCCTTTTGTCTTCAGAATAACTTAATCCTTTTGAAAAGCAGTTATACTCGTTTTCTTGTGGGAAATAAGATGATTCTTCAGGAAGAACAGACTTGCTGTCACATTAAACTGCTGTGAGAAGGCGGTGTGGGTGGCTTCCTTTGGCTTTGTCTAAAGAAAAATCCACTAAGACAGAAGAAAAAGAATAAAAGACAACTCATAAACTATGTTACTTTATTCTGCTGCTGTAATAACCCTAATTTTATCTGATTATGTGTTTCAGCATTTAATTTTGGTGCAAATTACGTCACAGTGATTAAAATCTTCAAGAGTTTCAATAAAATCAGCTCTTTGTGCTTTGTATTGAGAATAGAGTTGGGATGTCCTGAGATGAGTTCTCTTAGACAATACAGCCACACAATTTAGTAGAGAGAATTATATATATATAATTTTTAAATAAAGGGTTTTTTTTATAAATAAAGTGTTTTAACCTCCTCCCACAGTACTGCCACTTAGTGGATGGGGTAGGAATTACCATAAGAGGAAGCAAAAAATGTCACAAGGTCACTTTGCTTATTAAACTAATTCAGAATGGTCCTGATGAAGTCAGTCACAATGAGAAGGCTGTGCAAGGGTCACAAAACTTAGAGTATCCATGCTTAGTCAACCAATTGGTTAGAATAAAATAGATATTAATGCTTATATTTACTTATATATTAATACTTGTATTTGACTCTGTGCGTTGTTATGTGGTGGAAATGGTGCTGTTTTTGCTACTTTGAGGTCTTAAAAAGTGATTAAAAAGCATTAAATCTGATTTAACGAAAATATGCAGCAACCCTGTTTGGGAGAGATGTGATGCATAGTTTGCCAATTAATACTACAGCAAAATTACTTCATTTTTGTATTGAATAATGTGACTCTGCAGTTTAATATTGGCCTATGATGAAGTTTGATTGACCTGCTTGATGATTTGGCTACCAATTACTTTGATTTTGCAAAGAAAACACTTTTGGTACAGGCGTAGCAGAAAACACTGATCTGCTCTCTTTTGGATTCTTTTTGCACTACTCATGTGTAAAAAACATTTTATAGTGTTGTGAGTTACTGTAATTTCATACTGCTTTAACGAGTACTAGCTACTACTACTAAGTTCAGTTTATATAGTGCCTTTCTCAAACGCAAGGACGCTTTACAAAAAGATCAGAAAATAATAGCGATAGATAAAACACATCACGGTGTGTACACACACACACACACACACACACACACACACACACACACACACACACACACACACCAACATTTCCAACAGCTAGAGAGGGGGGACTACAATGACCACGGTATAGAGTCATTTAGCTAGCCCAAAAAGAGTCTTTAGCCATGGTAAAAGCCACTACAACTACGGTGTGTACACAGACAAAGAGCCCAGGAAGACTTGAAGGCCGAAAAAGTCCTTAGTCACGAAGGGGTAGCATTTTATTATTTTTCCCAGTTTTGAGCAAACTGTTTCTGCTAATGCTGGTGAAAATAAGAAGCAAAGTGGTCAGTAAAGCGGAATGTTTTCGCGATTCTGTTTTTAAACCAGCGGCGAGTGAATGAAAAATGTGGCTGCAGTGTATTTTGTACTTGCTTCTGGTGGCACACCGTTTGTAGCGGGAGGCAGAAAGAAGGCTCAGATCTGCTCCCTCAGTTCTTAGACCAAGCATGGCTCAAACAACTTTTGTCTAATAAATTATTTAATTAATTAATTAATTTATTTATTATGCTTTTAAAGCGTCTTTTTATTCTGTAACGAACCTGGAACAGGCATAAAATAGCCACTACTCAAACATGTCTGGATCGTTACCAATCTCAGATTAGATTAAGGTTACGCTGAGTGACCCTTATTAGCCTCACAACAGGGAAATTTCACCTCCGCATTTAACACATCCGTGCAGTGAAACACCACATACACACTAGTGAACACACACACTAGGGGGCGGTGGGCAGCCCTATCCACAGCGCCCGGGGAGCAGTTGGGGGTTAGGTGTCTTGCTCAAGGGCATTTTAGTCATGTACTGTTGGTTCAGGGGATCAAACCGGCAACCTTCCGGTCAGAAGGCTGGTTCCCTAACCTCCAGCCCCCGACTGCCCCATCGACCCTTTGGATCAGATCCGGACAGCCACGCCACACAATACTATATCTTTATTGTCATTATACCAGCACATTGTTCAAATTCAGACTCAGACAACTTTACTGACCCCAAGAAGGGCAGTTCATTTGCAGCTTACCCAAACCACACACACTTCATAACTCACAGCCAAAGTAGTTCTGTGTCTAAATGTAGTTAAGTTTGCAGACTCTCAGTACAAAATCCTAGTAGGATTAATTGTGTACATTTATGTACACAGGAGTTCTGTAATAAACCTCAGTACTCCAAGGTCAAGATATGAAAACAGTCTGTAATAAAAAAGGCAACACTCAACAAGGAGTAGTGCAGATTCTCAGCAGTAGTACAGAAACATGAGCGCTGTACATCAGCCGACTAGTAGTACAGCAGTGCAGTGCCAGTAGCGGTAAGGGAGTGTCAGGACACCAGCTAAGCAGGTTTCATCACATCAAGTGTTTTTCTCTTCATACAGTATGAGAAGTAGGTCAGAATGTACATGTAATGAATAATAGGGTATGACGACATGTCTGTTCTGGGTTGCTTATAAACTGTACATGGATCACAATAGAAAAAGAAAAACTGACTGTAGAAAATTCTTCTTCCTCACTGCAGTTGTCTCATCCTGAAGAGGTGATGACCCCCAGAGACAGCGACTGACCTACCACCTCTCTCGAGCACCATCATTACAGTCATACTCAAATCACCAGCCGTTACCAGGTAACACATTACACATTTTAAAGTGGTAGTTGACGTCTGTGAATGTAGGTTTGTCAGTTAACGGTTAATCACCAACTACTAATGATAGGAATTAGTAGTTAAAGCCAAACTTTAAGCCAAAATTCGCATCCTTACTGATTGGGGTGGGCAATATGGCCAAACAATATTATATCATGATACTTCAGGACATTTTCACGATGCATGAAATGCATCCCAATATTTAGTTTCTCTGAGATTTAACTATTTGGAACGGACAAAATAGAGCCCGTAGTGACATATATAAAAAAAATACTCTATTATAATAAATACACAATTATAATAATACTAATACTACTAATAATAATGAGAGTACAATGACAATGATTTTTATTCAGTGTTTTACAAACTGTAATGCACTAAATCCCATTAAACAGGTCTAATTCGGCTCACTTTGCAATGAAACATGTAGTTAGTGTTTTTTAGTTACTGACGATATCCATGATATGCTCAGAAAAGCATATTGTGACATCATTTATCACGATAACGATAAAATATCGGCAGATTGCCCACCTTTACCTACTGATCTCTGTAAACTGTAAACATGGACAGAAGTGCGTCACATAGCTAAAAACTGTAATAGCAGCTATTGTTGGGCAGTGTGGCCATAAATTTATATCACAGTATAAATACATTTCTGATAGTTTCAGTATACATCACTATATATATATATATATATATATAAGGCACTGTAAGCCAAAAAAAAAAGTAGGTTTTCTTCAGCATCCAAAATGTTTTATATATATATATATATATATATATATATATATATATATATATATATATATATATATATATATATATATATATAAAACATTTTGGATGCTGAAGAAAACCTACTTTTTTTTTGGCTTACAGTGCCTTATTATTTTTGGATGTCCCTTCACTTTTTAAGAACCATTTTTAACAACCAAGATAAGTCTAAAATATTTTTAATGTGCAAAATAGTAAAAAAAATTCTGAACATTGTAAAGATAAACATGTCAGTGTTGGTTTCTAACGTTATCCCTGTTCTAGCCCTGGTGCTAAATGTTGTCTGAACTTCAAGGCTCATGTTGGCTCTTATTTGCCAGCTTTTTTGTTAAGATTTTCTGTTCCACCTTAAATGGAGCGACAGTTAAATTTGGTCACCTGTACAGACACCTGAAGTAACTGCGGCGCCACTGATGATTTTTGATTTTTAATTAATCGATTATTTTCTTCTCTTTTAAAATCTGTTGTTTTAATCATATTTTAATTTCCATCCTCCTTTACTTTGTTACTTTTTCATTTGAATTGTCTTTGTATTTCCTCTTCTGTAAAGCACTTTCAGTGTATGAACGGTACTATATAATTTTTCTTGCCCCAGAGGTGGAACAGGAATTTCAAATATGAAGCCAACATCAACTTCATTAAATTTCTCAAGTCATTTACCTCAACTGTTCGTAATGTTACATTCATGCTTCAGTACCAGCTGCTCCGCGGCTTGTTTTGCTCAAAAGACCTGAGACCGCAGCGTCATCTGATCCAGCTGACTGACTTAGGCAGCTTTTCAGGCAGTTCAAGAGGAAACAATTGTGCAGCAATTGGTCTGGTGTTCATGTTAGACTGATAACCCTAAAGGACCATCATTCCTGCCTCAGAAAAGTGGACAACATCCGATGAAACCGTCTAGGCAGCGGGAGGTGATCCAGAGTCTGCTGTATTGTCATTTTCATTTGAAACATGACTGAAACTCTGACATTCAGCTAAACGGGACAGCGTTTCTGTATTGCACACTCCGATCAAGCAGTTTGTACGTGCACATTGTCTGCGCTTGTTAGTGGCAAACCGGTGTAACAGTGAAACTCATAACTGAGGAAGAATTTCATCCAGTATACCTTTTGAACCAGTATACTGGTTAGCTAGTAGCAGCCATCTAGAAGCCTCAGGCTCATCTTTCCTTAATTTTTACTATTTGCATGCAGTTTCTATGGTGTTAAATGGTGAGATAAAAGCTGCCAGTACTTGTTAGCTACATCAGCCTCATAGCTCTAGTGCAAAGTTAAAGAAGGAAACGTCAGACACCGAACATGTCGTAGCTGATCAACTACATTTGAAGTAACAAGGAGAACTATGCAGATTTGCTTTGCTGAACTGTCATTTTAAGACAAAAGCACTAAGCAGTGCTAGTTAGCTCAAACGTACTGTAATCCTTTCTGTCTCAATTGATTCAATTCAAAGCTGCAGAATCAGAATTGCAGCAACAGGCTGTTTAAAAACGAAATCTCCTGTTTGAAATCTCCTGTAGGTGTTTCCTGTCTGAGACGGGTTCCTCGGTGGACTCAGAGGCCATCGACAGCATCGCAGGACTGGCTGCTGTCACACACATTCTGGCTGTTCTTAGAAAAAGTAAGTGTTTCTGCTGTGCGTGTTTCATAGGCACTGATGAGTTACACAGTCCAGCCACAGTGTAGACATGGTCTTTTACTACTTCTCCCAAAGTTATACTTTAAATTGTAAACTGGAAACATTGAATGCACTGTTACTAAATGAACTGTACAGTAACTAATTAAGAAGAATGTTTATTTATACCTCGCAAAGGAAAATAGCTCTGATCTAGCACTCCTGCTTATAAACGCTGCTCAATGAGATCACAACGCAAAACCTTCATCATGTCCACACTGGAAATGTTAAGGCCGAGTCACATTTTTTATTTTTACCCTTACCCCTTGTTTTTGAGTGTCTCCATGCCCCATTGGAACTGAGTTATAAGGGGGAGTGGTTGAAATCTTCCCTCTGAAATGGGACCCTCAAATAAAAAGAGCATCACTTCATTATCAGCTACCAGCGCTGCTCTGTAGGCGACCCTGCCGGTCTGCAGTGACAGCAGAGGAGGGTAAAGTTCAGCTCCTCACTGCTGGGCTTTAGTTACATTTAGGGCATCATATGAATTCAAAGTGGGGGGTGACAGTTATTTATTAATGCCCACCCCTAATTCTTCAGTGATATGAAGCTGAAGTCAGATATTTGTTCGAATTTCCCGTTCCACCTTAAATGAGGCGCCAGAATGTAACTGCTGCACCATTTAAGGTGGAACAGGAAATTTAGCTAGCTAGCTACCGATTCATCAGTGTACTACTGTTTTTTTATGCTTTTTATGAAGAAAAGGACCATAATACATTGAAAAGACATTAAACTAAGATAATACAATAATTATTGTCATTTTTTAACAGGGAAAATTGTCACATTTGTGTGTTTCTTTGTCGTTTGCACATCCATCTTGCCGGTTTTTCTTGTTTTCTCATCACACTCTTTGGAGTCTGTTGTTTTAATTTTTTTATAATTATACCACACTAGATGAAGAATAAGTTTATCTAGAAGATTATATACAAAGTCTGAAATTGCAGTTTTTTTGTCTTGTAAATTGTGTTTCATTGTGTGTTTATATAAAAACTGCGAAGTGTAATCTCACTGTGGCATGTTTATTCTAACTTCTACAGCGGATAAGTTCAAGCAGGATCTGAAGAGCATCGCTGTTTCTGTCCACAAACAGATCCTACAGCACTGTTCCATCACAGCACAGGATCCAGCACACACACAGAGGTAAAGGCTCAGTCTGAGCCTCCAGGACAACAACAGTGTTGTCACGCTTATTCTCTCAAAACACAGACAATGTGCTGAAAGCACGTAGGAGTGAAAGGCGTGAAAAAAGAAACCACTTAGGAAGGAAATTCAACAGTAAACAAGTGTATTCTACAGCTCTGCTTCTTTAGCACACGTTCTTGCCGGTGATGATGGTTTTGCACACAATTACAGTATTTTCAAGGACATTTTAGTCATATATTGATGTTTTTTTTTCTGGTGAATGAAACAAATTTAAAGTTGTCTAATTATTAGAGATGGCATTATGCCTTTTTTCTCATACAATACTATAACCTTAATATCACCTGGGAGCAATACAGATCTGATTTTGTGTAACTTCTTAAGCTATTTTGATTGAAGAACTTGATTTAAGATGAGTGCTGTGCTCACAATACTCAAACTAGTAACGTGATTTACCCCAAAACTGCAACATCGTTTTACTCCAGAGCTTTTTATTTCTGAATCATAGAAAATGTGTAATAACGGTTTATTTTTGTGTGTATATGTAGTCACTGTTGGAACAAAATGTGGTATCTGTGAAAGTGATGTTACAGAAGAAGGAAAAAACTTTCTTAACTGTTGTAAATTTCTTAACTTTGTATTTTTTTTTCAAAGTGATTTTGAACCATTTCCATTGGTCCAGTTATCAGGATTTTTTTACACAGTGACCACACAGCGCATCACAGCAGCTTTTGATGTTAATGTTAGGTAGCTACTCTTATCATGTGACTAACTTAACATGGGCTCACATTAGGAGTTGCTAGTGTCACGCCAGGTTTGTCCCTTCTGGGTGTGTTTGCGGCTGCTCCTGTTGTCACGCGTCGGAGTGTACACTGTCCAGCTGCTGATAAAAATAAGTTAAACATACCTTATATGTGTATCACAAGCCACGTTTACATACAGCCTAATAATCCGTTAATAGTCTGTCTAATAGCTTAATCAGAATAGATAGACTTGTCCGATTGAACGTGGTGGGTAACCCTGTAAACAATCTGTTAAATAGAAGAATAATATCCGTGTAAACGCCTGTATCTGATTACATTCCCTATCGGAAAGTTTGAAGTCCGTTCTGATCATGTTCGTCACATCATAGTGAAAGTTTATACCGTTCAGCATGGCGGAGCAGAAACTGGTCTGCAGAGGAGACGAAGTTTATGCTCTGATCTTTAAAAGACGGCGGTGGGACGGACGTCCAGCTTATGTGTCTCAGAACACGACGTCTTCATCTCGGCCTTCTTTAATAATAATGTTAAATACATTTTTCTGAGTCTGCCATCATTTCAAAGTAATTAAAAACACAAGTGTACCGACTGAAAACTTATGTCACTCTGACTAGACCTCTTGTGATGCTCGCTGTCATGGTAATGCCTACATTAAGCGGTTCTCTACACATGCGTGTAATTTTAGATCAGATTACTTGCAGAGAGCATGTAACAGTCTTAATCCATAATCGGGATGTGTTCAATCGGATTGGACAAAATCTTTGAATATAAAGAGCCAGCATTTTGTTTAAAATATAAACTGCAGTGTAAGTTTACAACTTTATAAGTTTCTCTTTGGTGTGATAGTTTTGGGAACAGGAACGAAATGCCAGCAGGAGCAAAAATGTTCAGAGCAGAGGCTAAAAAACCTCGGACGCTCGTGTATGATTGGTCCAAGGAATTTGGAGCAAATGATTTTAATCAGAGGTTCTCAAATCAGTCATCAGGGATCCCCAGATGGTTTTTGCTTTTAGCCTGACTCTCAACCCATAGTGACAAGTCAAAATTCTTTTAGGGTGTCTGGAAATCTCTGAGGGCTGTTTGGAGAAAGACTGACTTACATTGTCTTGATCTAATTGTCATAATCATTTGCATAAAGTTGAGAAAATCTCAGCAACAGACTCAGTTTGTTGCTTGTCTCAGTGTCGCTTGTTGTTGAATCACAGCTGGTTGCCTGTCGCTCTGTCTCCTGCTAATGTGAGCGCAAGGCGACTGAGATTAAGTGGCTGTGTCAAAGCAGGGGAAGCTCTAAAATGTGCTGGGTTCCTCCAAGACCTGGGTTGGGAAACACTGTTCTACTAGTGTCATCCTGATACTGACACTGATGTCTGTGCTGTCTTTACTTCTTACCACCTTTGAATACAGTCTTCAGTGTTTTCTTCATGGTTTCTTTCTTTCTCTTTTTTCTTTTTTTTTTCTCTTCTTCAGGGTCATCTATGAGAACGCTGTCAGGACACTGAATGAGGTTCTGATGCCGTGAATCTACGGATCGTAATTTTAGAAGAAATTACAAACACGGCAAAGAATCATATACTTACTGTCTCACTCAGAATTTCTCCTTTGTTCACATTTGTAAGGTTTTCCTCTGCCCAGTGTGGAGCATGTGAGCTAATTTTTTACAGAATCTGCAATACAGCATCATTATGAAGCCCTTATTTCTATTTGTTGGACCTTTTGTAGTAGACTGTCACAATGGAGCAGTGTGTTCCTAATGACATTGATGGGGAATCTTTCAAATTTCTGTATGAATCAGTGGTTCAGATGTAAACAGAGTCATTCAGAGTGGTTTGGTGTGAAATGCTTGATTGGCTCAGAGGCTCAGATGTCTTTACAGTGGTGGTGATAGGAACCAGGGGTCGTCATGACTACAACACAAATATAGCCATTTTATTCACTATCCAAAACCACCAGTGAACTTAGACAAGTCTTCTGAGTTTTATATGGAACGATGATGATGGAAAATAGTGGAGAAAATAAGTTTTATATGAGACTATTTTGCCTCACAGAGGCCTGCATGTACCTCTTACACCACTCAAAACATAAAACAGTGTCCCAGGCATCAGGCAGTGAATTCATAACCATTTCATGTAATAACTCTGTGAGGGAGCTTTTAGAGGTGGACGTCTGGTTCCTATCACCACCACTGTGAACAGTTCTGACACCATTTCACACCAAACCACTCTGAATGACTCTGTTTACATCTCAACCATTTCATTATGCAGATTTTTGGAAAAGTTGATAGAAGAGGCACCCTTTAGTTAAGATTTTGATCCTTTTAAAAACGTGTGCCTGTCTATGACTAATTATGAGGGGAAAATTACGTACAGTGAGTAAAATAGACTTGTTTCTGTATTTTGCATCCAAACTTCAGTGTTGGTTTAAAGTGTATTTGTCTGGGTGTCCTTTGAAAGGTTTCCCTCTAAGCCCATTTTAAAATTACAGTAACGTTTTTTAAATATGAAATCATTTGTAATACATGTTTACCTTTACAGTAAAGACAAAGTAATTAAACTTAAATAAAATAAATAAAAAATAAAAACGTTTTTGCTTTATTTATTTTTCTTAAAATGTTTTCGTTTCCTCACTTCATTCGGGGTTCTTTACAAAATCTTTGGAGTTTGTGTTCACAAAGCTTGTTTGTCACTTTTAAAGTATTGTTTGAGAACAATCTGATTTACAGAACTCTGCTGTGGACAGAGGCGTGTGGACTCACTGGGGGTTCAGTACTTTGATCAAGGACGAAGGCAGTGCTGTAACTCCACTATCTGCTCCATTACAGTGTATTACAGATTTTTCCCCTGTTTTAATCACAGAGCCTCTGTTTAATCTTCCTTCAGTTTGTCCTACGTGCGTCCTCACTGCACTATACAGAGTGGTTTAAAAAGGATGAGTTGCCATTTAGAGTCTCGGATCCTCTCAGTGGTTCTTCCTCATGTTCTTAGTGAGGTTCTCCTGTTCAGTCTTGGTTCTTCAGTGGTTCTTCCTCATGATCTTAGGGAGTTTTTCCTTTAGAGTCTCAGTTCCTCTCAGTGGTTCTTCTTTATGCTTTTGAAACTTAATTGAATTTAATCCCTTTAAATAGGTGGATCCGATGTGTTTCATTAGGGCATCATAACTCTGAATGTTGAGTAGATCTCCAGGACGAGGAGTCAGTTCGAGGGCAGAGGAGAGGATGAAAAGCTAAATCTCAGCACAGGGTTGCACAAATTTCTGTTTGCTAATTGTTTCTGCCACATTAGTCTCACTGCTACTGATTCTAAATGGGAGTTTTGCTAAATCAAGGCCACCTGTGTGGTCAAATTCGGCAAACACAGGAGCGTTTCCAAACAGTTTTCTGTTCTCTGCGAATGTTTGCCACCACTTTCTAACAGTTTCAGTAGGTAGTTCTACACGAACATGTAGGGCAGCTGGACAAAGGGTTACCGATGTCATGAAATCTTTCAAAATCGTTCAAATTTAACTGTTCATAGTGAAGTTTGCCACAAACGTTCGCCGCTTCCCCCGCCGCTCCATCAGAGCGCATCTTCTCTGCAGTGGGGAGGATCTGCTCTCAGAGGAGATCAGGCCTCTCACAGGATCTCATTACAACAGTGAATTTTTGAATAAGTTATTCATTTTTATTGTCTTCATTGTTAGTTAGAAAATGCATAAAACAACCTCAAGCTAAATTTTAAAACCAATAGCTGCATAAGAGTCATTTGGTAATGTAATGATTTATAATCCAAATAATTGATTATTCGTTTCAGTAATTGCTAGATTATTCGACTATCAAATTAGTTGTTTGTTGCATATATATATATATGTATATATATATATATATATATATGTGTATGTGTGTGTGTGTGTGTGTGTGTGTGTGTGTGTGTGTGTTGTACTACAGGTTCCATTTTGTCTGTTACCACTTATTAAATCTCAGAAAAACTAAATATCGTTATGCGTATCATATATTCTGATTCTTGCTTTTCTGAGCATATGGTATCAATATTTAAAGAACATTGACTAAATGTTCTATCATAAATTGATAAATTGGATTTATTGGATTTAGTGCAGTTCAGCATGTAAAATATTTAATATAAATAATTGTAGGTTTATTTTTGTTTTTATATATATATATATATTACTTTTTTTTTAAATGAGCCAGCACAGAACACACGGTGAACTGATACACACCTATGCAAAAAGAGCCAAGTGGCACCAAAAAACCTCGTATTGTCATATTTCCTTACTAGCCATGAAGTCCTTTTTGTGTGCGCATTAGGGGTCTTTTGTTAAGTGACTTCTATGAAGGAGGCCTTGGCGTTTAACAAGCGTGATGCTAATGACGGCTTTTTAAACTAATCTAGCCATGTGTAAAATTATTGTAACGCTTTAATGTAAATGAACCGTGAAGTGTGCTTTGACAGGTACGTTTGAGCAATGTTTTCCTCACAAAATAGTTTCAAACTCTTTATTTCGAGCTCAAGCTTCCCGAAATTGCTCGGCTGAATCGGTGATAGCTTTTATATGCTAATGTGACTGCCTGAATTGATGCAGCTCCTCGGGCCATTTGAATTATTCTGGTTTCTGAACGTTTGGTTCAGATGAGGACAACAGTGCTTTGCTTTGCCCATCATTTATTGCAAACTTCCAAAGTTACCTCACTTTATGAAGTTTTCCAATTCAATAGTCCTGTTTTAATATACGATTCATGCACGTTCCTTAATCTGTCTTTTGTGGCTTTTCGTTTTTGCTTTGTCAGGTGATGATTCACAGATACTGAAAAAGAAAAAAAGAAACTACAAATCACCAAAATGGACCTCTATGCCTGACTGTTTAGGCATGATAACGAAAGTAACAGCCTTTCTCAGCTATCACTGCGCACAGTTCTGCAAGGACATCTGGTCACTGTGAAATTTTACCTGAAGCCGCCTGAAATGTATACATTTTAAACCTTGTTAGTTCATGTACATGTTTACGGTTCAGAGGGAAAATGCTTTCCAGTTTGCTTTGACCTTCAAAGGAGACCTATGGTCAAGTCATGAAGTACACCCCATTAAATATTTCTTTTTTTCAGTGGACATTTCAGTGTTTGATCTTTAGTTAAACCCTATGTATAAATAGATGTTAGGTAATTAGAGTAAAAACAATAGAAATTTCATATTACACTCATTTATTTTCATTTATTTTCATTCATTTTTTTTTCTGTTCAAAAATACAGCCTTGGTTTCAGTAACTGATTTTGCCCCATTTGGCAGGAACAACTGTCTACCAGTTTCTGGCATCTACTGGGAGAGGTTTTTGCCACTCTTTCATGCAGAATTCTTTTAACTGTGCAGTATTTGAGGGTTTCTTGCCTGTACAGCCCATTTCAAATCCCCCTCACAGCTTTTCGGTGGGATTCAGATCTTGGCACTGACAAGACCATTGCACAACCCTCCACTTCTTCCTTCTGAGCCTTTCCTTGGTGGATTTACTTTTATGTTTGGGATCATTATCCTGTTGGAAGGTCCACTTTTTCAGCTTCAACGTTTTTTGACAGATTCTCCTCAAGCACTCTCTGGTAAGAAAGAGAATTCGTAGTCGATTCTATGATTGCAAGTTGGGCAGGCGCTAAAGCAGCCAAGCAACCCCAAACCAGAACACTACCACCACCATGCTTTACAGTTGGGATGAGGTTCTTATGATCAAAAGCTGTCTTTGGCTTGTGGTTGCCAAACAACCGTACCCTTGACTAATTTGTCCATAGCACATTGTTCCAGAAGTTCTGGTCTTTGCCTGGATATTAATTTGCAAACTTTAGTCTTGTGCATCTTTCATGCAGCTCAAATTTGTGCAGTCTTTTTCTAATGATAGATGGATGTACTTTGATTTCAACAGTGGAAGAGCTACCTGGAGATCCTGTGATTAAATTTTAGGCCTCTTAGAGAGTTTTTAGCACCTTACAGTCCACTCTGATTCTGAACCGTGGAATTATTGGTTTCCAATATTTTGAAAATCTTTTTAACCCCCTTCCCACAATCATGGGTATCTATGGCGTTCTTTTTGAAGGCCTAAAAGAGCTCTTTTGATTTACCCCCACACTCGAAGCAGTGCAGGCCAGATATCGTAGTTTTAAAGAAGTCAGGTTCCATATTATTCCATCAGGTTCCAGGTAACGTATTTTCTAACGTTGTCGTTCCCCAGTATACCACATACAGGGCTTTGTTATTACCCACTGTACTATAGCAACCACTGTTTATTGTGAAATGCATGCTTTTAAAACAGGATAATGTATAAGTTTTGACCTCAGCATCTAAAGTTCTAGCTTTAGAATTAGCTCCTCTGTAGAGACGGCCTCCATCACTCAAAGCTTCCGCCTCATGCAGTGACTGAAATATTTCTCTGATTTGATGTTATCATGGTTGTCAGAATCATTTTGGTTTAAGGGTAGCAAATAAAATTTCACCTAGGGTGCCAGAGAGTGAGAGAGACCACCATTTATTTATTTATTTATTTATTCATTCATTTATTCATTCATTCATTCACAGATAGACTGATCGATCACTTCATTAATTCAAGAGGGAAATTTTTCTATTGCAGCAGTACAAAGCACAGTAAAGAGCAAAATGAACAGGAGCCAAGTATTGCTCTGCACTATTTACAGATATATAAGAAGAAAGTAGAGATAAATAATAGGATAAAATATACTAAAACAATAGTAATGTGTATAAAAAAAAAGTAACTGCATGAATACTATGCAGGACACAATGTGGTGGTGCCTGTACCTCCAGTGAATGAACTACTGACTATGGTAGCAATAAATGTTAACATTTGTACAGTTTAACTTTAACAATTTGACATTTATGGATGCATAAACAGAGTGACAGTGCGATGTGCAATAGTAATAGACAAATAAACAAAGTGGCAGTGCAATATGAGATCATACATAAAATAAACCTGTACATTTATGTAAAATGTATTTAATTTCCAGTCAAAGCAGCCATCAGGTATAATGCATTAATATTTCTGGAGATACTTCTGAGAAGTTTAGATACAAGAAAATCCATTTACAAAACGATGGAGAAAGTCAACGCAAAAAAAGTGAAAAAAAAGCTACAGAGAACATGTGACCTGGTAGACACCAAAACTGCTCCCATCAGATAAACAGCACTTAAAGCTTTCATCTCTGAGAGAGAGGAGAAAATCAAGCTGCTTCAGATCTGAAAACATCCACAGGTGTTTTTGTCCATCCTTCCACTGTGAGAAGACGACTCAGCGCTGTGGGTCTGAAAGGATGTGTAGCTGATCAAGAAGAACCTCACTGAGAAAAGGAGACGGACACATCAAACAAAGAAGCTGAACGATGGACTGACCACCCCAGAGTCCAGACCTCAACACCACTGAATGTGTTTGATTACTTCAGAAAATGATCAACCAGCTTCTGAGACTGAACTTTGGAGGTGTGTCTGCAGATTCTTTGAGGAACTGAAAGTGAGTCTCCTGAAAAGAATGGAAGCTGGAATAAAGGTGAAGAGTGGACACACTAAGTCAGGGGTCGGTAACCCAAATGGTAAGAAGAGCCATTTTGTCCTTTCAATAAAAATCAAACCACCTTGGGAGCCACAATGTTTTATGTCCGTTTTACCACCTTGGCTGTAAATGTGTCTCAGTGTGTGCTGATAAATGAAGAAACAGACTTACTTTACTCTGCTTTAAGCTTTAGCTCAGCTATAGCTGCTTTTCGCACATCTCCAGCAGGAAGCTTCCAAACATGAAACGGTTTCTTGTAAAATGTCTCTCAACATTCAACTTTTTACGAGGCTGAAGTCGCTTCTCATTCTTCAAATGGTGCTTGAGGTGCCAGAATGTAGCTGCTGCACCATTTAAGGTAGAACGGGAAAATTCAAACAAGAAGCTGGCGAATGAGAATCCGACTTCAGCCTCGCGGCTTTTTAATGTTTGACAGTTTCTCGTTGATTAAAGGTATCAGGAAACCAGCTGGAGTGATTATAAACATAAATAAGTCTCCAAATTATCAATGTTTGTCTTAAATCTCTCTCTTTGCCGTTTCGTTAGCTACTAGCTGGGCGAGACTGTTGTCTGTGTTGCTATGGTGACCAGCAGTCTGCGCTGATCTTCAGTGTTAAAGGGTGAATTAGCAGTTCTACATTAACTCCAGAGTTTAAGACCATTTATTGTTAAACTGTGTTGAACGATCAGCAGAGCTTTATTTTACTGTAAAGGAGGATTATTTTATTTTTACCTACAAATCTGATTCTGCTGTGGAGCCACAACAGGGCAGTAAAAGAGCCGCTAAGAACTGTAACATCTGATATCATATTTGGTTGTTGAGGCTTTTGTGTGATTTTCAGTGTAATTTGTTTACTGTTTTGTTTTTTTTTCTAGAAGCTGAGAAATAGAGAGAGAGAGGGAGAGAGAGAGAGAGAGAGAGAGAGAGAATATGAGGTACACATCTAGAATGCGCTCAAGGAATGAATGTGTGCGTGCGCGAGCGCGCGCCTGCCACCCGGTGACGTCAGCGCGCTGGGCGGGGCGCTGTCCGAGGTGCTGAATCTCCTTCACTGAGAGAGAGAGAGTTCAGCTCCGAGATCAGGATACACACCTCAGCTTCCCTCTTTTATTCTCTCTCTCTCTCTCCATCTCTTCATCCCTCTCTCCTCCACCGGGATGGGCTCCTCCGTCCTCGCGCTCCTCCTGGCCGGATGCGCGCTCGCGGCTGCAGCCACACGCCGGAGGTTTGGTGAGTTTGTCTCTCGTGCAGCTTGTAGACCTGCTGCTGCTGAGCTTTCCTTTTTTCTTTTTTTTTTGGTAAAAACACGCCCCGGTGCGCGCGCGCGCGAGAGAGAGGCGCTCCTCCACGAGGTGGAGCATCTGCGCATTTCAGGCGTGCATGCAGGATGAACCTGAAAAGCTCTTTTCATCCATCCCTCCATACCCTCCACTCCTTCATCCACCCCACAGCGCTGACAGTCCATTACGTAATTCCGTTTAAAACGTCTCGACAGCGCGCGTGTGTACCAAACCCACGAGGAGCACGTGGCCTGAGAGGCAGGGGGGTGAGGGGGGCGTATGTGTAGTGTAGTAGTAAATTCTGTAGGATCAGCTCAGCTCAGTTAAGACTTGGGTGACTTTTTTTTGTTTGAAGTGTCAAAATCACCCCTGCTGAAAAACGACCATTAGAAACCATTAGAATTAAACATTTCTAATGGGAATTGGCTTAATGGTTTCCAGTAGAGACCACTAGTTTCCTGTAGGCTACCTTTAGATCCCTTCAGGAAACCATCAAATGCATTGAGAGTCAGCCACTGGTCACCTGTTAAACACTGTGATATCAACCCATTAAAATAAAGTCAAAACACATTACAACACCATCAGGAACCAACAGAGACATTTCATGGTTTCTATGGGTTTTTTTTTTAGCAAGGACACAATCATAATCTTACATTCGCAGTGTTAAAAGGTTCATATCTCAAAAAATTAAAGAGTTTATTGTGATATATAGACATCGGTCGAGCTCATTGTTCATAAACAAAAGCTTGAGTTAATTTCAGTTCCCAGTCACTGTTTATTTGCTGGATTGAACATATTGAGAAAAATAAAACGTACAAAATGCAACTGTGCAAAAGTTACGGCACATTTTATATTTAATTTTTTTTCCGCAACACGTTAAGGGTGCAGTGTGTAAGATTTAGGGGGATCTATTAGCAGCAATGGAATATAGTATATCTCTATATGGAATATAGACCCTTCATATCTACATACGGCTCCTCTTCCAAAAGAGGCCATATATTGCATCGCCATGTTTCCACAGTAGCCCAGAATGGACAGACCAATCGCTGGCTCTGGAGAACACCTTTCACATTTATACGTTGAAGCAGCAGCTCAAACTTGGTTGCACTGTAGCTTCGGTTGAAAGACGTAGAAAGAAGAAGAATCAGTGGTGTTGCCGGTTCTGGCTCATCATTTTCTGTTGAGAGAAGTTTGAGAACGCAAATTTTGACAAATGGAGGCTCAAACTGATTATTTAGAACAAGGAAAAGCAGGGAGGGTGAATCCTCGTCGACAAAGAACCAAAAAGCTGACATCCACCGTAGGTTCTACCACGCGCTCGGAGAGGGAGGGGTATTCAGTTGGCTGCATTCTGCAACGTCACCACTAGATGCCACTAAGTCTTACACACTGCACCTTTAAACTCAGCAAATAAATACAAAATGTGCCTCTATTTTTTCAGGAAGGTGGCATTTTTAAACATGCGCTCTGTAGAGGATGTGTTAACTTGTTTTCACCTAGAAAATCAAACTAAAAGTGCGCAGAGACGCTGAGCACATGCAGTTGACGTGAGGCCTGGTGCATCCGATCATGTACGATAAAATACAATCGTCAACAAAAGCCCACCATAAGAAACGTTAGTATGTGTTCAAATCACTTTTAGTGACTAACACCATCATCCTTCACATTGGCATTTGTATCCCAGTAATGTCACCATGGCAACGTTTGCATCGCTGCATGCCACCATCAGTCACATGCACCAATTCTGCTACAAGGCTCTGAACAATCCCCCCCCAACATCGACATACACCGATCAGACATAACATTATGACCACCTCCTTGTTGCTACGCTCATTGTCCATTTTATCAGCTCCACTTACTATATAGGTGCACTTTGTAGTTCTACAATTACAGACTTTAGTTAAAACCTGTGTGTTGTGCTGGTGCAAGTGGATCAGACACAGCAGTGCTGCTGGAGTTTTTAAACACCGTGTCCACTCACTGTCCACTCTATTAGACACTCCTACCTTGTCAGTCCACCTTGTAGATGTAAAGTCAGAGACGATAGTTCATCTGCTGCTGCACAGTTTGTGTTGGTCATCCTCTAATCCTTCATCAGTGGTCACAGGACGCTGCCCACAGGACACTGTTGGCTGGATGTTTTTGGTTGGTGGACTATTCTCAGTCCAGCAGTGACACTGAGGTGTTTAAAAACTCCAGCAGCACTGCTGTGTCTGATCCACTCAGACCAGCGCAACACACACTAACACGCCACCACCACGTCAGTGTTACTGCAGTGCTGAGAATGATCCACCACCCAAATAGTACCTGCTCTGTGAGGGTCCATGGGGGTCCTGACCCCTGAAGAACAGGGTAAAAGGGGGCTAACAAAGTATCAGAGAAACAGATGGACTACAGTCTGTAACTGTAGAACTACAAAGTGCACCTATATAGTAAGTGGAGCTGATAAAATGGACAATGAGCGTAGAAACAAGGAGGTGGTCAGAATGTTATGCCTGATCGGTATATAAACAAAGCACTATACATATTCGCCTATTCAGCCTACAGCACTTTAGCTCCACCCACCAAACGCTGAAGTTTGAAGTAGTTTTTCAGCCTAGACTGCTTTTTGTATGAAGCATAGTACAGGGCAGCCAATAGACAGACATGAAAACTGTTAAAACCTGTTTGTCTCAGCAGTAAGTTTGTTTTTGCCAGCAGGAGAATAAATGCATATAAACAAAATGTAACGAAATTTATCGGTTCTTAAGAAGGTTATGAATATACTGGTTTAGACGTTCTTGACCTGTCCTGACTTCGTTCTGCACTACAGTCATCGCATGGGTTTGTTAAATTCCATCAGCAGCACCTGATTTAATTTAATGGAGGACTGATTAGATAAACTAGGTACTGGATAATAACTGTAAATGCTGGACTTCCTCACAGACAGAACAGTCCTGATGGATTGTTTATTTGTATTATAACATTATTGTTTTATTAACAGATTGTAACAGATGAGGCTGGGAACCAGGATGCAAGAACAGTTTATCTTTATTAGGGTTTAGGTTGACAGACTTGACAAATTGTGAAGCGCATGCAAGTAATGAAGAACAATCCTTGATGAAAAGTAAAACTAGTAACAAAAGGAAAAAAAAACAAGTGAATCAAAACAGTGAACTGGAACTAGATAACCAAACAAAAGCCAGACAAGAAAACAAACAAAACCAGGAGAAAGCTAGAGATCTACAAACAAGAAGAAACTAACGCAAGGAAACGCACAAAAAACAGGCCAGAACTGTGGATGCACATTCAATGCTTGGCAGAACACTGAATATGAAAGTATATATTTGCTACATGGCCAAAAGTATGTGGATTCTTATTGGGCAGAAGGCAGGAAACACCCTGGACAGGTCACCAGTACATCACAGCACACCTATATGAGCCGGTTGGATATCCAGTTCCAAAATCATGGGCATTAATGTGGAGTTGCCCCCTTTGCGACTATAACAGCCCCCAAATCTTCTGGGATGTTTTCCACAAGATATTTGGGAATTTATGCCCATTCAGTCAAAAGAGCATTTGTGAGGTCAGACACTGATGTAGGCTGAGAGGGCCTGGCTCACAATCTCCGTTCTAGTTCATCCCAAAGGTGTTCAGTGGGGTTGAGGTCAGGGCTCTGTGCAGGCCACTGGAGTTCCTCCACACCAAATTCACCAAACCAAGTCTTTGTGGAGCTGCTTTGTGCACAGGGGCTCAGTCATGCTGGAACAGGAAAGGCTCTCCCCCAAACTGCTGACACAAAGCTGGAAGCATTTCACTGTCTAAAATGTCTTTGTGCTGTAGCATCAACATCCCCCTTCACTGGAACTAAGGGTCCTGAAAAACAGCCCCAGCTCATCATCCCTCCTCCACCAAACTTTACTGTTATCGCTCTGCATTCCGGTGGGTAACGTTCTCCTGGCATCCCCCAAACCCAGATTCATCCATCAGACTGCCAGATAGTAAAGCATGATTCATCATTTCAAAGAACATGTGTCCACTGCTCCAGAGTCCAGTGGCGGCGTGCTTCACACCGCTCTAGCCGACGCTTGGCATTGTGCATAGTGATCTTAGGTTTGGATGCAGCTGCTCAGCCATGGAAACTCACTCCATTAAGTTCCCACCTTGCAGTTCTTGTGCAGATGTTTCCAGAGGCTATTAGGAGCTTTGTTGAGAGTGATGCAACAGAGGACAGCCACTGTCACACTATGCGCTTCAGCACCTGGCAACCCTGCTCTGTGAGTTTGCATGGTGTCCTGCTACTTCTGAGCTGCTGTTGCTTCAATTTCACAATAATAGCCCTTACAGTTGACAGGGACGGATCTAGAAGGGCAGAAACTTCACAGACTGACTTCTGGCAAAGGTGGCATCCTGTGACAGAGCCATGTTTAAAGTCACTGAGCTCATCAGTTCGACCCTCTACTGCCAGTGTTTGCCTATCGAGACTGCAAGGCTATGTGCTTGATTTTATACACCTGTTAGCAATGGGTGTGGCTGAAACACCTGAACTCAATCATGAGAAGTGGTGTCTACATACTTTTGGCCATTTAGTGAACAGACAGGGAAAAAGACAGAGCTAAAACTAATCACAAAGGGGGAGGAGTTACAAACAGATATCAGATGAGGGGTGTAACAGGAGGGCGGACTAGGGAGGAACAAAGGAACCTAAACAAAGGCACATGGCAGCGAAACGACTGGTGAGAGGCAAGAGGGTAGATAGAAAGAGAAACTGGGGTGGAGAAGGAAAATAAATGAAACAGTTAAGGAAACCAAGACAGAACAGAGTCTTACTGTTCAGATAAATAGCTTTGCATATTTTCTCAGATGCCTCTTTGGCACAGAACCGTATATCAGTGTTAAATGCCATTGACAAAAACAGCCTGTTTAATTCTAAAGGATAAAGAGAGGTTGGAAAACGAGTCACTGGAAAAT